GTCTCGTCTTCTAGTCTCTCTCTCTCTCTCTCTCTCTCTCTCTCTCTCTCTATGGGGAACTCTGCACAAATTAGATTTGATGCAATCAGCAGACTGATGAACAGTGAGTTGTAACCTTAAAGAAGCATCTGAATCATACCAAGAGAATGCCTTTGGCTGCCCTGTCTGTCAGATAAGAACATGGCTTGAAAAGATTGCCATACAACTTGCTCCACTCCTCCAGCTTCTCACATATGTAGTTTGCTCCAAGGGAGTCAGCCCAGAACATGATACCACCCCTGGTTTGCATCACAAGAAGATGAAGTCACTCTAATGGCAAAGCAAGATTGAAGCTTCCACTTATGCCAGAGATGTTCCAGAAACAAACCTGTAAGCTGGGAATCCCATGCCCATTACAGTGGCAATGTCTAGGTCTGTTGCCTTCACAGCGATTCCCTCATCAAGGATTCGACAGGCCTCGTTGATGACCGGGAAGAGAAGCATTTCTACTATGTCCTCATCTGGTATCTCCATTAGCTGTAGACAGTGTGAATTAACATCAAGTTTCAATGATTTCAAGCATCCTACACTTAGGTTTAGAGATTACGAGGAAGAACCTGAGGATTAGGAGTAACACTGGCCATGTTCCTTGACTTCTCAACATACTTAATGATCTCAGGATCTGGGCTGGCATTCCGCTTCTCATCATACTTGTAGAACCCCTTTCCGCTTGCTTCACCTGTTACAAAGTGATTCTGAACTTGTCATGCTACATGATGTGGTAAGAGCGATGAAGATATCAATATAGCCTTCAACATTCTTCATACCTTCCCTCTTGTCTTCAATCATGACTGACATCAACATGGACTTGTAGACTCTTTCAGGGTAGCTCTGAAGGTATTGGATGCCAGAAGCTCCTGCTGCTCCAAGTCCAACAAGATCAGCAGCTCTGTAGAGACAATACGATTAAGGTTAAGAAACATTGTGAGAATCCACATTATGATGACTGGTATTTGTTTGTGTACCTGAAGGGACCCATTGGCAATCCAAATTTGGTGCACGCATGATCGATCTTATACACATCAAGACCATGATCCACAAGCAAGAGTGCTGCTTGAGTGTGAGCAAAGAGCATCCTGTTAACAGCAAAGCCAGTGCAGTTCCTAACTACAATGGGTGTCTTGTGAATCTTCTCAGCAACATCCAGGAGATCTACAACAGCTTGTGGTGATGTTTTCTGTGTTTGAATTATTTCTAGCAGTGGCATGTCATGAGCAGGACTGCAATAGACACAGGTTTGGAAGGAAATCAGAGACCAAAAAAAAAAAAAAAGCTATCTGCAGGGAGTTCACAAGAGAAGAATTTGCGCAGGATTTGCTTTGTATACCCGAAGAAATGTGCCCCTACGATACGATCTTGAGACTTGGTTTCTCCTCCAATTAAGTTGAGATCGATTGTTGAAGTGTTACTGGCGAGTATACAGTTTGGAGAACAGTGTTTCTCGAGATCAGCAAATATTTGCTGTTTTAGGTGAAGATTCTCAGAAGCTGACTGTAATGACAAGATATCAAGGAAAAAAGATGAGAATTAATTTATGTATGTATCAAACGAAAAAAGATGGTAGGATAAAAAAAAGGAGTTCTTTGATTTCTTGCCTCAATTGCCATATCCACATCTTTAAACCTTTCATAATCCAACACACCGGTGAGTAAAGAGAGTGCCGTCTCACATTTTTCATCATTCAATTTTCCTTCATTGACACAATTCTGCAAATTGTCTGAGAAAAATATTGCAAGTAAGAACTTGAAATTTGCCATGAAAACCTGTATAGACCTCCTGAATGCTAAAAATCTAACCTTTAACTCTGCCAATTGTTGATTCTAAGAGGTTTTCATCTTCTTCTTTAAGTATCACTTGGTAATTGTTCAGTATCAGCGCAGTTGCAATTCCAGAGCTTGTTAAACCTCCTCCAACAATGCCAACCGTAGCAATTTTCCTAGGCTTCAGACCTGAGTCAGTGATCCCAGGAACCTGTCAAATGCAATCAAGAAAACATGTCAGCAATGTTAGAAAATGGAAACATGGCTTAGATTAAGTGAGATGCTGTGGCATAAATAGCTTTTGTGGCAGAACTTGAAACAATGCCAAGAAACATCAGTGGCACATCAAACAACTAAATCAAAGGGATCCTTAATTTGCACCTTTGTGGTTGCTCGCTGTGCAAAGAGGAGATGAACCAAATTCTTGCAGGTGTCAGTGAAAAGAAGTTCTAGGAAAGTGGTTGATTCCTGCAGTGAGAATGCACACATTAGCAGCTGCTGTAAGGTATCATCAACCATCTTTTACCGGGAGAATTAAAGCTAGTTCACCTTCCAAAGTCCGGCACGAGGACCTGAGACAATACCCTCTTCGATCACATCAATACACAACGAAGGGAATTGGACATTGGGAGATCGCTTTCGAGCTTCAACTCTTGCAGACTTCAGCACTTCCCTGGCCTTCTCCGGGGGTTCCAACTTGTCTGTTCTGTAAAGACTCTTGGTCCATGGTTTTCTGGACTCTGCAATATCCAGAGCCCAATGCCGAGCTGTCTCCACCAATTCATCAGGTGAAACTATGGCATCCACAAGACCCAGTTTGTAGGCTTCCTCTCCTCCAATTCCCTTGGACAACTATTGGGAGTGATCAGAACTTAGTTAGATGAAGAAAGAACCCCATTGATGAACAGTCCTAGGTAAAAAGAGAAACACTTTTACCAGAAGCATTTCAAGTGCTTTAGGAAGTCCAACAAGGCGCGGAAGCCGCTGCGTTCCTGAAGGAACTCAGGAGTTAGCACACAGGATTAGAGAATTACAACATATATAGAGTGATACCTCCAAGCCCTGTGATGAATCCAAGAGTGAGTTCTGGTAAGGCAATTTGAGCAGCGGCCGTAGAGATGCGCCCATGACATGCCTGAGAGATTGTCACAGAGAAAATTATACTAGAACTCCGATAACAAGTAGGGGATGCAGGTGTAAACATGAATCCAAGCACATACCATCGAGAGTTCCAGCCCACCACCAATGACTAGCCCGGTAATGGCAGCCACTGATGGTTTTCTTGCAGCTGATGACCAAAACAGAGATGCAAAACTTCTCAGTGGGAATCAGAAAGATCATAGTCATGGACAGACAAAGAAAGAGGTCACAGAAGTACCTTCGAAGATATCGGTGACGACATCGATCGCAAAGTAGCCAACTTTAGGTTCAGGTTCTGCAGAAGAAAAGGTTGCCATGATGACAGGCAGAAGCAAGTCACAAGGAAATCAACATTGCAACAATAACTTGGCTTACTCTGTCCATTGTTCCCCCCTTGAAGGTCCTCAAAGGCAGCGATGTCGAAACCTCCGGAAAAGTTCGGACCTTGACCTGCTTGATGAGCGAATTCGTGAGTCGACACTCTCAGAATCAGTAAACCGGAGCTTGTTTGAGGTTGCACAAACCTGTGAGAACGATGGCTTTCACATCATCCCTACGGATAGCCTCTTCAAAGTTGGCTTTCAAGCTCCACATTACTGTAACAATGGCAAAGAGAAGAGCGTCGAATTAAGAGAAACAGTAAATTAGAGCTTCCTGCATTCCTGTGACCAACTTTTGTGTTCACGCTATGTAAAACTCGGATGCAGATGAGTTCTTAGATCACCAAAGAATCTGCATCATGATACGATTCCAGTGTACGAGTTCCTCGAGAAGGTACGGAACATAATTCTCGTGTTATCGGTTAATGGATCCTATTAATCTGGATCTAAATCCATTATCTATCTCGAATCCGGAAATTTTCGGGTTTCGAATCCTGGGTTGGGTCCCTCCGGTTCTTTATCTCAATCCGGATCAGCTGGAACCACATGGTCGGTGGGCCCCACTTTTAACGACCAGTCGGAGCTGGACAGCTGGACCGTGGGCTTGCAGTGGCCGGCCGCCATGATTCGCGCAGGCACGATTGGTCAGTGCGGTCGCGCCAACGGAAAAGGAAGTCCAAACCTCCGGTTGACCGCCGGACGCAGTGCGATCGAAGAGAGAGGGACTACTCGAATGGCAGAGATGGTAAGCCGGCGAGGGGCGTGCCATCTGGCAGCCGCCGAGGCGGAGACGTCGGCCATCTCCCCCAAGTCTCTCGAACCCTTGCAAAAGCTTACTCGAGGTGCCCGTGAAGTGCAGTTTGTTCGCGTTAAGGAATAGACAACGGGAACTGCTTTAAAAGTCGGGACGGCACTGGATACTACTCTCAGCCTGCGGTACACGTGACACATCAGATAAGTCAACCGGTTTTAAGTATTCCTGGTTTCCTGTACTTCCAGTTGCGGATTTGCATTCCGGCTTACACTATTTCCATCGAGTGATAATAATAATAATTTCAAGAAAATAAACTACATGTTTCCTTGGGACAATTTCTTGCGAGTCTATTCTATGACTTAAAGAAGAGAGAGAGGAGTTTAGCATTGTGATATATACACCAATAAGCTGTGGTTAAATGGTGATAGCTGAAACCAATAGAAATGGTGTGGCTTTCTCAAAGACATCCGTAATGAACTCAGAAAAGAATAAGAAGTGGTAATAGACGGAGGAGGATGAATCACCATCGAAGGACAGGCAGTTGATGGGAGGATTAATGATGGTGATGACGGCGACGCCGTCGGCTCCCACCTCCATCTCCGTCCTCGCCATCTTCTTCTCCATCTTGGCCGTCTCCTGCTGCTCTTCGTCTTGCTTTGCCTTCGTTTCCGTTGCCTCCATGCCCTTTATAATGTATGGGGTGCAAGTGCAACTGCAGGCCTTGGAATTCTTTTTTCCATTCAGCTGGTGTTATCTATTGTTGACTGATTCCGATACTGACAGGCACTGCTTACTGGCTTAGGTTTCATGCCGATTAACGTAGGACTATTACCAGGCATGGTCAACTTTTTATATCGTACAGTGAAAATATTTTCAAATCACTAAAATCATTTTCCTTGAGAAAATACGTCAATCTAAATTTTTGCAAGCATCCTTCTCGATTCTGCTAAGCATAAGGGTCGAAAGGAAGCTTTGTTTCAGGTTTTCAAGTGAGTCAATGATTCATGTAATGTAAGTCAAACTATGAATTGCATGCACCTTGATATTAGAACTAAGTGGACAGAATATGAGTTTAGTGAATCGAAACAAAGTAAAGAAAAATTGCAATCCCTTTCAGTCCAAGTCAAATTATGAATTGCACTGTGATAAATGAAACGAAGAGGATCAATCCATAGGTAGGTATGCAAACAAGCAAACTCATTGCTACCTACCACCTATTTGTATCTTCTCTCTTGACTGCAGCAGCAACTTCTCCTCTTGTTTATCGCTTTCGAGTGCTCTCCTCGGACCGCCACCGCAGCTCACAACGCCGTAAGGAAGCAGCTAAATTACGAGCTCGTCTTTCTGCATGCATTTGACTCGAAAATACATGATGATTTCCACAAAATTACGTGCGTTGACGAAAGACAATTCATGACTGGTCTTAGCATCAACTTGCAGAAAGTTAGAGTTGCGTGATAATGTTTTCCCGCACAGGATGGAATCGTTCACCCATCTCTATCTTGTTGAGATGGAGGTTGGAGTAGGTGAGTATAGTGTAGATTATTCCATTCAAAGGCATCATACTCATACAGCTTAGAGATAATGGACAGAGAGGAGTGTTGGTATTATATGTACTATACGAGAAACCAGCTAGTTTTGAATGCACACAGTAATGGAAGGTTGGCTTTGACTCCAAACAAAGAAGAAGCGATATAGAAATGCCTCAACAACAGCTGATGGAAGTCACGCCAACTACAGCTTGGGCAGGTGAAATGCATATATATTAGGCTACTAAGAGCAAATAAAAGAAAAAGGAAATTACATGTCTTTGCATCCTTTGAATAAAGAATTAAAATTGGCCGTGGTTGACCTGAGAGCGCGCGTACGGGACCCACATCTCTGGATTGCCCCACTTCTTCACCCGTTTAGTGATTGGAGAGATGCAGCATCACAGGTGAGGTGGGTAATTCTATGAGAACCCTTTTTAGGTCCGACAAATAGATATTGGTTTCGCGTTCTCTATTTTCCCGTCTTTGACGGCCACCGTTTTGACCACGAAACAACGTTTGAGTTCATTCGTTGACTTACGCTGTCACAATGGACCGGTCAACGAATTTTACGCCACGGCACTGCGCTAAATTGGGCGTTGAATAGAGGGATAGGTTAGAATGTGGTGTGCCTCTCGAGCTCGGTAGAAAGCAACCCCAAAGGATTTGAGATGACATGACCTGTTGATGTTATCAATGATAGTTTGCATGCAAATTGTAGTAGCTAATGCGACCCTTAAAGCTAATAATGCAAAGAGGTGGACCCCCACAAGGCCGGCCTTATTCTATGTATGTGATATTTGTATATAAGTTGATGATAGTCGACCACACAATTATAATTCGAAGGATATAACGTCATACGAGTCTTCGAAAAATATGATTAATATATATATAGTACTGATCATGTGGCAAGGACATTATGTTTCTATTATTTTTATGTAGCGTAGCTGACTAATACCACTGGTTAAGGATAAATAGTATTGATTAACAAAGATACTGAGAGCCTAATTTGGAAAAGACATAGATAACTATTTTTTGAAAGATTTTTTTGTGTGTGACCTCTTAAAAAACATCAATAGGGAAAAGTATTAATAATCTTTTTTTTGTAATTTTGGACTCATTAGTGAATTAATTTGAAATTTAATCAGTAATCTAAGTTGTTAGTTAGCCAATTTTTAAAATAAATATCGAAGTCATGTTTTTAAATTTTAAAAAGAAATTTAAGGTTTATTATTCATTATGTTTCGAAATATGAAATATGAATTCTCATATCATGCATCATGAATTGAAATATGAAGCAAATGCATCAGAATACACAAAGTCTATAGTATGACTATTTTCCTTGAATAGATAGAAAGTATGGACTATTATATATTTTTCGTTGAGCCAATTATAAGTACTAAATTGAATCAAATTATTTTTTAGAAATAAAAAAGTATATGAAGTTAAAATTTTAAATAATAAAAGATGTGAAACATCTCCCCGAGATACATAAGATTAAAAAAAAATACTATCTACCATAATAAATATAATTATTAATTGATTCTAATTTAGATAATTACTTTTTATAACTCTCACTTTATTATTTAAAATTTTATTTTTTTTAAAAAAGTAATATTTCTAAACGTTTATTTTACAAATAGACTTAAAAATTAATATTTCTCTTCATCTTATAATCTGTATTATAAGAATGATAAAAAATAACAAAATAATTTATTGTTTTAAAAAGAATTATTAACAGTATAAAGAAGCTGTGAATAATAAGCTTATTAATTTATACTAATATTATATTTGTATATATTTTGGTACATTTAAAGGATAAAATTTGTTTCAGAAGAAACCTAGGAAAGGTGTCACTTGTTTATAGGCCAGCCTGGTTGGGGCCCAATAGCGTCCATGTCTAGGGCGAAGCGTAATTGATCGGCCCTTTAAAAGGCCCGCCGCGACGAGGAGCGTCTCGCATTTCAAGAGGCAGGAGGAGAGGGAAAGGCTGGGGCTGAGATTATGGCGGGCTAGAGATGAAGGTATCTCTCACCCTCCGATTCTCCATCTCGCTTCCTGTTCTCTGAGTTGCTTTTTCTTCTCCCTTGATGCCGAATTCTGTTCTTGTTGTTGCTGCTCTCTTTCTCCCTTTCTTATGATCTGCTTAGGGCAAGAATACACTTGCGAGTTGCTTGGTACGTTGATTGCATAAGTCGGAGTGGATTTGTTCTGCTTAGTTCATGATATGCGATTCTTTAATCTTCTTTCCGCGTTCTTGTTCTGGTTGATTCATAAGCGGTATACTAATTCTCCCTATGGACAAGGAAGATGCAATTATTGCAGAATTTCGGTTATTCAACTAGTGAGATACTGTTATTTTGGTTTTCATTCTTTATAAGGAGGATCTACATATCTTGTGTGAAGTCCATAACATGTATTCTAGATCTTAATGCACAATCATGGAACATCCCTGGAGAGTTTGCTTCTGATCTGACTTCTTAGATACAGAGACACCTGCGGTTGCAGTTCACTTGTGATTTTGGTGGGCGATTTCATCAGATAATAGAGGGTTTACAAGTTGTAACATGTTATCATGTTTATGAGAAGAATTTTGTATACAAGCCTAAAAGTTTGGCAATGTTACCCGAGGTTCATTAACTATGGTATATTCTGATATGCTTCTTGATGGCTTGATGGTGCTTTTGTTCCCAGGTTTTGATGTTCCAATACCCAAACTGGTTGTCTTGTTAGGATTCATCATTGCAGAATGCCTGTTCTGACTGACATAATCTTCTTGTATGACTTTGTAGTATGCTGCATCATTTGTATATTGGAACTGCAACATTAAGTTCAAGGGCTATGATGTATCCACTCTCAGCATATGTGACGCTTGCAATATGAATATTTTACTATGAGAACTTTTTTAGGAAGTTGTTTTATCCTAAATTTTTGCATGCTCTTCATTTTCTCCTACAACGTAAACCCTTGTCTTGCCCTGTTTCCGTAAAGTTTTTGTAAATATCAAGCTTTTGATTACTATTTGTGCAAGGTTAAGTTGATCTCCAATGCCTATCCTTGCCTTCTATCTTGCACAGGTCTATTCCAAGTCTGCCAAAAATACAGAATAGTTGTTTCATTATCACAATAAAAATCTTGAGAAAATAATAATCTAGGATGGCTTTTAAGAAATTTGACAGTCTGCTTCATTTTTTCTATCTAGATTCTTGAATATTCATTGTAGGCCATTATATTCAGAAGTTATCTTGAATATTGACACTTGCATGGTTCTACTCATTTACCTTGAAACATTGTTCTACGGTGGATTGGTGCCATAAGGTTTGCTCATTAAGCTCCTCAGACCATTATCTTCTGGCTATTAATATGTTACATTTGTAAGTCCGTATAACTACTACAGTTAAACCTAGAATGCTTGAACACATAAGACTATGCATATTTAATCTATCTAAGCACATACCATAGGTGATTAACTTTCCATTACAATCTCTGCAACTCTTTGAGGCGCCAGCAATGTTTATTTATAATATTATTTTCCTAGGCCATTTTTACTAGTTTTCTGCTTATTTGAGTAACATTTGTACCAATCAAGCAGGTGCTAGACCTTTTTGCTTTTAGTCTATTGATCTTTCCTTGTCTTGCACCACCTGAAAAGTCTGAAGAAGGCCTTCTATGTTGCATTTTCTTTTGTGTTAGTTTTTAAAGGTTCCAAAGATGATTTAGACAGACAAATGCATCCACATCATTGTTGATATCCTTGTTCATGCTAGTAATCATTTCCTTGCCTTTCCTTTGGCCTAACTCATATATCTATGTTTTGATTTCATTTTTGTTTCTAATCAATCCTGTTACAACTGTACATTTATTTTCTTTCTAACTTCAAACCTTGTGGCAGTAGCAAAAGTATTTTCATGATAATCAGCCAGGTTTCTTTAAAATTCAATTTATCAATTGAGTTTTTTTCTTAAGCTATGATCCTTCAAGTTAATCCTTTCATATTTTACTAAGCCACTTTCATCCATTCTCTTTGAATAAGCTGAAATATTGACACTGGCTTCGCTAAAGCTTTGTTCATACAAATTGATAAAACACTTTATTTAATGCATTTGAATATCCATTCAAAGAGACAATAAATCTGGACCTGTGTATGACTGACTTGAGGTACTATGCAGTCTCTGTGTAATTTGTTTATAGTAGGATATCTTCAAATTCCGAGCTCAGGTTAAATTCTTCACAAGTTTACTCTATATTCCACAACCGGCTGCAAGTCGGGTATTTTGGTTTGTTTTCATATGGATGATAAGCTTGTCAATAGAAGTTATCAATCATGTTTAGTGAATATTACACATTGTAATAGGATGTTAGAAGTGCTCTTAAATGCGGTTTAGTGGGAGTAAGTGCCGCGTCCCCTAAAGTAAGCTTGAAATTTCGCACATTAAGATTACGACAACGGTGGCTTTGCTTATATTTTGTGACGACTAATGAGTGAAATACGTGCTTGCAGGTCACTGAGAATGTTACACGTACCAATTGAAATTAAGCATGATAAACTAGATCTCCACAAAAGCAGCCCGAAGTGGACAGACACCACACATCCAGCGCTGGTAAATAACATCATTCGCCTTTGTTATCTCCGCATTTTAAGCCGGCTTAGATGACTTTCTCATGGCTCTTCATTGGATGTGAAAAAGTTGGAAGTATTCTAGTCTGCAATCAAGTGTCTATTCTGCAATCAAGAGCTAACACTTGCCCTGCAGGAACATCATGGCTATTGTTAAATGCAGTATCAGTGCACTCCGCTTTGGTGCTTTCCAAGACGAGTCTGCAAGGTACGTCCTCATCAATTCAATTTAAAGCGATGGTAGTCATTAATTTCTTGAAGTATGTGACTCTTCAAGCTGATGCCTGATGCCGAGTTAGAAGTAGAAAGTAAGATCGTTAGCCTTGTGACTGCAATGAGCAGAAACCGACAAAACAGAGTTGAAGTTCCAGATTTATATTATGATTTCCTCGCAACATATCAAAGAAAAACTAAGTTGAAAATTCTGATGGCTCGAAAAATGGATACTGGGATCCATCAGACGATGGATCGCGAGGATCAATTCAAGATAACATGGTTCCAAATTTAGGATGCAAATACTCTATTCTACTACTTCTGTCACATAGTAGACGATCGGTGTTATGCTTTATGCTCCTAGTGGCAGCGATAGGTGACAGAGAAAGAGGCAAAATTGAGTGGAAAGATAGGCAGCAGGAGATTAACCATCGAGTAGCTGTTGCTTTCATTATCCTGCGTGCACCCATGTATTGGGTTTTGAGTTTGGATAAGGTAGTGCTGATACGTAGATAGACACTTGTTGATATCGTAATACTTTGAGGCTTCTTTCATTGATATAGAGTAGGGCAATCTTGAACTAAATAGCTTGAAATGTGGATTACACCAGTCCGAGGAGGGTATTTTAGCCTGCAGGAAGCTTCAGAAGAGCGACCAACACTTATATTGTTCTTTACATTTATATCCTCAAAATGTTACACTGCTCACGATGGATACAGATGTACTGTTCGTGAGCTGGCATCTCCGTTTAGTCTATTTTATATAGATTGTCTAATAAAGCAACTAGATGATATGACAAAAAGACCAAGATAACCTTAAAACTTGCACTCTTTTCTCCCCGGACCAAAAAGAAAGAAAAAAACGGAGGGTAATTCTGTCAAACCATAATATGATTAAAAAACATCCACTGCTGTTCTTCCTCCCTACCCTGCTACTAGTAAGCAAACCCACCGGCCAGCGCCCGTTCGCCGGCGGCCGCCCTCGGCCGGCGGCGCCCGGCCCGGTACTTTCCATCGGCCGCGGCAGCGGCGGCCAGGGAGCAGTGATCCCTCTTTCCGCTCTCCTCGTCCATAAATATCTGCCGGCACCGGCACTCCTCGCTGCAGAAGGCTCGATCCCCTCTGAAGTAACATTAAGTCAAAGCAGCTAAGTAAAACCCCCCCAGAGAGAGAGAGAGAGAGAGAGAGAGCAGTGTTTCTGTTCCCCGAATAACCCACTCAGGGACACTCCGGGAACAGAACGAACTGAAAAAGAGAAACTTTTCTTTTGTTTCTGACCTGTACATGTAGATATCCTGGCCTTCTTGAAGTTTTCTCCTGCAAAGATAGCAGTATTCCAAGAAAGTGCTTCCTTGGGTAGAAGAAGAAGTGGGAGCAGCAGAGAAGGGAGAAGAGTTCTTGAGGACGGAAGTTTTGCTCACGATCCGGGTGTATTTTGGGAAGGCCCTTTGTTCTAAGAGAACACTTAAACCCGCCATTTACTACTACTGGTATGATGGCTTCCCTTCTCTTCTCTTGTTGTGGCGGGGAGTGGTGGGGTACTTAAAGGAAGACGACTGCGTCTGCTGCACCGCAGGAACACGGGGAGGTGGAATGCAGGCTTCTACGAGGATCTAGGGCATGGTCGCAGCCGTGTCGTAAAGTGTGAACTATTGCAGTGACTATGCACTTTGTGCTGATTTGATCGGAGGAGCTTGTCGAATTAGTAAGTGATTGATACCCTCCCACTTGTGATTGGATGCTTCACTTGGAAAAAGAATAGGGATCAAAATAGTTGGGGTTTGCCACAGGGAATGCAAGCTGGAAATCACTAGCACCTGGTTTTAGTGGTCTCTGTACTGTTTTTTAATGCATTTCCTGCGTGTTTTCACCTTGATTTTTAGGGTTAGGTTTCTCTATCATACGTCTAAAATTGCAGAAAGAGATTTGATGCTGGTAGGATCCACTGCATATTTTATTTTCCACTGATCAACTATTGGATTTTTCCGGATATTAAATTGGAAATCCACTCTTAGATTAATCCAACTCGGAAGAATTATTATACTTCTCGTATATATACCATCTTGATTGATGGAAATCCCTGGTGACAAGAGTATCCATCGTACATGAGAAGATTTAGATTCTGATGTTTGTGGTGAACGGGATTTACCGCCGATGCTATTGTTAATATAATAATGTGCGATGCTTCACGTGGCGGTGGTAACGATGATCGGATTTCCATGATCTTTCTCATAAGATATCAATCCACATTAACTTTGGCTTTGGTAGGTTGCCTCATTTATATTCTTTATACTTTCGAGGATCATGTTTCCTCTTGTGTGAGCAACCAGTGTTGCTGCACTAATGTACCATTGCAGCGTGGGAGATGCCTTGCTCTTGCAGTTACCTTTGTGACCAAATTATTTGCTCTCCATTGCTTAAAAAATACGTCGACATGTGACCAAGCCATCACAGCCAAATGGCCAACACGTGTCCCATCGTAACAGCTATAGAAACGCTTCGTTGAGCGTGCATAGTGAAGGAGGATATCTTGTTAGGGTCTATAAAGCTCCTTTTTCTTTACGATAAATGGTTCCCATTTCCCTGTCGTGAATGTTGTTGTTTTTCTTCCTGAGTACGATCGTTTGCTGATGATCACATGAGCTTGAGAGTTAGAAATATGCAAGTAAAATGCATAAGAATAAGGATTAGATGGGAATTGGCTATGATCCGCCATCAAGATAATTAAGTAGGTGGGAATAGGCCAAGGCAAGGGAGCATGGGAGGAGCATCAGAAAGATGGAGTGAATGGAACGCAAGGACGCATGCATTAGTGGGGTTTACTGGCTCGTCGTGCTCGCTGCTCTCCGCGTGTCCTCTGTAGTTGTGGTACCCTCATCTGCCACCCTTTGATGGGTTTGGGCCCACAGATACGGTCCATTGATCCTGTTCCCTACGTGGCACTTCTATCTCTGCCTTAAAGGACAGTGGTGTCATTACCAACACAACCAAGGAATCTTGTACTATAAAAAATCACCTTTTGTATGCATTGGTAGCTGCATACCTCCTGATCGTATCTCTAGGAAAAAAAATGACAGGCAATCCTTTTCCTATACAATATAAATTGGGTGATCGTATTCAGACGATCAAGTCGACTTGATGCCTAGTGGCTCTTAGGGGAGATGCTGCCTGTAGCTTTGGTATGATACGTTTGTGCGTTAGCTACTTAATACACTGGTTGGGTTAGCTACTAAAGATGTTATACCTACTTGCAATGTTGCTTCCATTTAATCTGTAAACACAGCTATCAAGCATCTATGCTTATAGGAACATGTTGTGCCCTATTATATTGTAAACACATCTACAAGCATCTATTCTTTGAGGAAAAGAGAACATGGTCTCCACCATAAAGAAACAGAGTGGGGTGACTACTTAAATAGGTCCATCGTTCTCAAAGACGAGGCAGAAATCAGTTCTGTGCGGCTTTCTTGCCCACCGAAGAGAGGGACAAGATGGATGTCTGCTTTAGCAGGTGACTAAAGGGTTGGATGAGGTTCGATCACAATCGAAAATTAGGAATAGAGAGAAGAAAGGGAAATGGAGACTAAGATCATCTGATGTTCATTTGTTAATTGGATCGAAATAACTTACCTTCTGGTTCAAAGCCAATATTTACTCCAATTTTTTGCGTATTTATTTGTAATTACGACGAGAGAGAGAGAGAGAGAGAGAGAGAGAGAGAGTTTTTGTTGATTTCTCTTTGAAAAAAAAAAAAGTCAAATTGGGAGTCTCACCTGTTTGTATTGGAGAGTTTTGCTCTGATTCACTCATTTCAACTCTCATCACACATCTCAATCGCCATTTCATTTCTCTCCCACATCATCCCATTTTGCATGTTTCATTATCATGAGTGGGGCTGTAAGGATGGACAATCAAGATGTGATGCAATGAGTGAATGAGGATAAGGAGATGATTGAAATACGTAGGACTAGAGAGTTTCCTGCAGTAATTTTAAGGAGGAATTTTTCTAGATAGTGTTGCATCAATCCCTAACAACACTAGCTCCGAGAAATTCTTATGTGGGTTGGCTTTATACTTTCTTCATGGTCCCCCACTATCTTGGGAACATACTTCAAACTCATGACAATTCTCTTTGGAACTTCAACAAAGAAAGAGGCATGGTCCCAATTCTCCACCACTGGACTCCTGTGGCAGGTTCTTTGGAAACTCGATAGGAAACTGTCTTTGGGACTACTTGTCCGCCCACCCCATGGCTTTGAAATGTGTACGTCGGGGCGCAGGATTAGCTTCTCATTAATTAATAGCCGCTTCAAGGTTGCGCGCAGCTTCTGAAGCAGCCCTCATGATGGCATCACATAGTTAGGCACACATCGCATATTATATACATTAATTAGTTCATCCTCCGTCCCCGTATCCAAGCATAGTCTTCTTCCTCATGGCTGCAACCCTTCTCCTTTGAGCGTGGCCTTTTCTTCGTATTCCCCTTCCAGTGCGCGTCCGCCGCTTCCCACCAAGTCCACAGCCTTGGAGGCCTCCCTCTCCCAGTCCATGCTGCGGACCAGGTGCACCACCGGCAACGCGCATGCAACTTGGGCCGTCAGTAGCCCAAGGCTGAGGCCTAAAAAGCCCAAATCCAGCCGAAAGGCCAGCAGTAGCGCCACCGGCGCCCCAACCAAATAGAAGGCGTAGAGGTTGATGGCGGCGGCCACCGACGGCCGGGCACTGCCGCGGAGCACGCCGCACCCGGTCGTCTGCGGGCAGTTAGCGAGCTCGCACAGCCCGATCACCGGCAGGACGGCCTTGGTGAGCTCGAGCACCTCCCCGTCGCCGGTGAAGACCCTCCCCCACGCCTCCCTCCCTACGGTGGCCCACAGCAGGCTGATGCATGAGCCTGCCACCGCCAGGCCCATGCCCACCGCCGCCGCGGTCTGCGCCCTCCTCGGCTGACCTGCCCCGAGCTCGTTCCCGACGCGGGCGGAGACCGACGTGCTCAGCGTGGTCGGGAGAGTGTACATCAACGACGTCGTCTGTATGACGATGGCGGCGGTGGCCAGGCTGACGCGAGGGTTGCTGAGGTAGCCGGAGGCCACCGTCATCAGCTCGTACCACCACCACTCCAGACACACAGCCAAACAGCTCGGTAACGCCAGCCGGATCAACGAGGACCACTCCGACCACGGCTTGTACGAAGAGCAGGTCGTGGGCGAGCTCGGGATCGGCAGGTACGCCGCCTCGTCGGCCGTCCGAGAGGAGATGACGCACGCCAGGAGGAGGAGGAGGAGGGTGTTGAAGTCGGTGAGGCACGTGGCAATGGCAACGCCGGGCACGCCGATGGCGGAGCTAAGCGACGCCGTGAGGGGGACGTGGATGACGACGGCCAGCGACATGCACCACATGAGGGGACACGGCGCGCCCTTGCAGCGGAAGTAGACGCGGAGGGGCTGCAGGAGGCTGTTGGCGAGGAGGTCCGGGAGGGCGAAGCGGCAGTAGCAAGCCGCGACACGGGCGACGTCGGAGTCCTGGCGGACGACGCGCATGATGGGTCGGAGGTTGATCCACAGGAGGGCGATGGGGAGGGAGACGAGGAGAAGGAGGAGGATGGTGCGGCGAAGGGCGCGGGATGCCAGGGAAAGGTTGCGGGACCCGAAGGCCTGGCTGCAAATTGGCTCCATGCCCATGGCCAAGCCGGCCAACACCGAGTAGCCGGTGACGTTGGTGAAGCCAACGGCGAGGGCGCCGCCTGCGAGCTCCAGGCGGCCCAGCCGGCCCATGCACGCCACCGACGCCATGCCTTTGATGTAGCTCACCAGATTGATGACTGTTATGGGGAGACCGATGTCCTTCATCCTCTTCAACTCCTCCGATACCTACCATCGAGAACATGAGCTATATGTCTCTTAATTCTTTTCAAGAAACAGAAACACTATTGCTTTTTTTTTTATAATATAATTCCAATATAAATTAGTACTTTCAAGAAAATGTCCAAAAACAGACATTAGACTACCAAACATTCACTCATCCTGCATCAGTCTATAATCTTTTTTGGATTTCTGAAGAAGGAAGCATCATATTCTTAGCTTAGCGAGTGGAGCGCAGTACCTCTGAAATTGTCAGGCACTTGTGGATTTGATCTCCCGTGACCATTTTTAATGTCGGAGGCGATAAGAGAGCTCAATTTTGAGCAGTAATCTTCCCTAGCAGAGAGAGCGAGAGAGCGAGAGAGAGAGAGAGAGAGAGAAGAGCTTGTCTGAAGAGAGAGACGGGGGAGTGTATTTATAGGTGCTTGAAGTTGTGGACTAGTACAATAACTCCAAGCTCAAAACTTGTAATTACTTTTTCGAGTTATTATCACCACAGCATGGAGTACCAAAGAGACAAGCGAGATCCAACAAAGTGGCAGCCAAGTACATATTGGTAGGCCCCCCCGTCACTTGCATGAACAAGGTCAGACATCTCCCACTGTCAAAATGTGAGCCGATGACTTCTCCCAATCTCCTCTCGTTTTCAATCTCCAAACCCATTGGTCCCCGGACTCGAACACCATATGTTGTAGTGGCTCTGCTTGCATGCCTGTACACAGACACGTAGAATATGAATGATTAACACAAGTTGAACCCTGCGGTCCAGTTGCATGATTCTTGGATTTGCACTCATGAGCACTGAGAAGGAGGGTTCAGATCGAGGACCACTCGAGTGAGGTGCATTGATTGTGATAGCATAACGAACCGCATGTTTGCCATCCACTTCGAGGCTCGATAGTTACTCCTTAACTGCAGGTATGTATAATGACAATCCAAATGTTATGACAGTTTTTACAAAGAGGGAGGAAGCTTTGGTTGTAGATGTTGCAGCGAAGATGACAGTGAGCACCACATCGAACTACACGTGGCCCTCTCTTTTGGGGATTTTGCCTTTGGTTAGGATTCGGTCATGTGCAGGGAGACCCAACAAAGTACAAACGTGTGGCATGGGCAACAGCGAAGGATCGAGCTTGTCACCCAACTCTGATCATGACCGGCAAATGCGGGGACGACACATGCTTCGACCCTTCCGTGGGACCTCAGCCCCTCACCATCCCTTCCTTTGTTTTGTTGGAGGAGGAGAGATAAGTCCCCCTGTGGATGTACGTTGTATCCATGAGACGAAGATGGCGGCCTCTGGACCAGTACATGCATGCCGCTATTAGAGGAGGTACTCTCTACTGTGCGCTGCCTAACTGAACCAACGAGTTGTATCCTTCCACGGTGGGGTGCGGAAGCCCTCGGATGTGGCTAGTTCGGAGCCACCAGCTGTTTGAAGAAATGACACGCCGTTGTCAGTCGCCACGCAACAGGATCTGCTTTCCTCCAAGGAGAACACTGCACGCCTAGCTGCGTGCATCTACTCCACAAAGGTTAGGCAGGAATGCACACGTGCTTATATATATATATATAGGGATAAGTTTGAGATTTTTTCGCAAAGCATTTCAGCTTTAAATATTTTTCAGATAGCATCCTTGACCATATGAAAAAATTGTTTTACCTTTGCATTCACTAAAACCACCATCACCTCCTTCCTGTGTTGCCTATGTCATCGCCCCTACTTTCTCTTCATATTGTAGGGCATCACGCGCATGGAGGGAGGTGGCTGACGGGGCCAGCCCGTGCGTGTAGGCATAGGAGGCTAAGGGTGGAGAGAGAGGGGTGACTGGCGAGGCCAAGCTACGCATAGAGGCATAGGTAACCGGGAGGGGGAGGGACAATTAGCATGGTCTGCTCACGGACGTGTGGAGGTGAGGGTTGACTAGGGGAGGGGAGGGAGGCGGTTGGCAAGGCCAACCCGCATGTGAAGGTGTAGGCGTAGCCAGCAAGGCTAGCTTGTATACTCTGAGGGGTGCAATTGGTGGGGCCATGCCACGCGCAGAGGCATAGGTAGCTAAGGGAGGGTGATCGGCTAGGCGATAGGGGTAGTCAACTAATGGAGGTTGATGGTTGACAGAGGTAAAATGATCATTTTGAAAAAATAGGGGCACTATCTAGGTACTTTTTAAAGTTCAACTGCTATGCTATAATTCCTAAATTTAGAAGCTTTTTTCAATAATTTGATAATGATGTAGGGACCTTGTGGTCTACAGAAGTGGCCATCTATAGAAGTATTCCCATTGGCTTTGTGGATACTAATCGGATTGAGGCACTAGGAAGCATGTCTCAAATCCGTTTGCTTCACCCAAGATCGAGAACCACACATATTCCGAATGGTGTCACTCTCCAAAAGCATGAATTGTTTTCAAAGGCCTAGGCAGATGTAGGGTTTCTTTCTTAACGTGATGGGTAACAATTCCAGCTACATGTTAACTTGTGTGCTTGCATCAAAGAAATGGGGCATAACCTTGTTAAGGAAGGCTTCACTATGAGAAAAGTAAGAGTGCTGAAATCCTCGGGACAGGTAAGATGAGCAGTAGCTGTCTGTGATCCATTAGTATCATCAAGCTTTTAGAGCACTTAACTTTTCTCTTCATGATTGATTTTAAATGTTTTGAATCTTTTGACCAATATTTCACCATCAAGTTTTTGGAGCACTTAACTTTTGTCCTCATGATTTCAAATGTTTTGAATCTTTTGACCAATATTTCACGAGGTTTTCTGTCATTAATATTCAAGAATTCTTGTTAGTATTCAACTCTGATTGAACAATTTTTATCATCATATTTGACCGAATTTAACCAGTAAATGCTCTTTCAAGTCCAAAAGTAGACAAAGTAGAAGTCTTGTATGAATATTTTGTTATTTTAAATACCAAATCAGGGGTGCTTTATCAGGTCTAAATCTCATGTTCTGCTTTATGGACTGTGCAATTTATCTACTAAAGTCTAAAATATATTTTGAGACTACATGGGGGGATCATAAAATTTCTTGAGTTGAAACTATGACTTCAGAAAATGGATCATGATATGGGTGAAAATGGTATCATTTGTTCCTAGCCTAAATGTTCGCTACGATCTTACAGATTGGTTGTTAGTGTTATGTGTAATCTTTTAGGTTACATGCATCAACACAAGGTGGTAAAAACTGACTATGCATGGACTTACATTTTTTAGTTCTTATTTCTGAATATTTATGTGTGTGAGATGAAAATAAAAGAAAAGGACAATTAGTTCCACATTATTAAAATTTTAAAAAATCGGATCATATATCGAGTTTGATTCACAACTTGATAATTTAGGTTTCTGAGTTATATTGGTAGTCCTAACCACATGATTGAGTGTGATTACATTCAGTTGCTTCCAGTCCTCTTGGAAAAAAAAAGCTTGGGCTTCCATAGGAAAGTGATGGGCTCCATTTTCTAAACCCTCCTCATTTTGATTGCTTCTCTATGTAGAAACATCTTTCTTAAGAAGACCTTTTGAGTCTTTATTAAACTCCAAAATAATACACAATTCTTTTTTATGCATAGCATCTACATAAAAGAAATATCTTGGTAGATTAAATCATCTCCCAAGGTAGCTTGCTGTCCAGGACAGGCCTTCATTTTGTAGCATGACATATCACCTTTCAAATTGTTGACTTCCCCAGCATGATCAACTCAGATATGCATCTTCCTTCTGATGTGCTTCATATAACATGGAACCATGCATGTGCATTTGGCCAGCACACCTCATGATTAAAGAGAAGAAAAGAACCCTAGCCATGCAACTAAACCCACCTGGAGAGGGCCATGGTTTGCTTGCTTTAAGAGTGAGTAACCTGCAAAGCCTAAAAGGAGACGGTGAAGCATCCACTGTTGCACCATCTCCCAAGGTGATATGCACCCCCAAAACTCATAATTCTCTGTGGCCAACCCATCAGTTTCTAGGAACAAAAGTTGCAGTGCTGTTGAGGAGTTCTCCAACCACCAACACCATCACTCAGCACCACTCAATGACTCACAGGAGATCCATGGATTTGCAACCACCAAGGTGGTCACCATGGCTCTTATTAACCTTTTGATTAAAAGCTAATTTGCCAGCTGCTTGCAGCAAGGAGAGATGTCCTCCTCTCATGTCCCACAGGGGGCCTTAATTGCTTGATTAAAGGTTTTTGTTCCACCAAATAGCGCGAGAGAGCCAGTTGTAATTGAGTGTGGTCATAAGAATCTTGGATACTGTTAATAATTGAGGTCGTCTGCTTCCTTTGGTGGGACAATTATTATTAAATGAAAGACTTTTTATTAGGAAGCATGTACAGATATCTGAATGTTCATGATGTAGGTAAGGATATTGGATGTTGTTTTCTGTAGACCCTAATGATGAAGAAAAATCTATACAGCCGATTCTAAATAATCAGAACGTTACGACATGTCGTCATCGTAGTATTTGCATTTTGAGACACAGGATCATGATTAGTAAAACTTTGATATGAGAAACATATATTTTCTGATGCTTTGCCTATCCTTTCCTTCAATGAATATTTTCTTTTAATTTTGAACATGACAACTAAAGTCTAATTGTTCATTTTCTATTTATAATAGCATCTTGTATTTCTCCAAGCTGCCATGTACAGTCTCAATTAAGATCTCATAACCATGGATCATCTTATTTGAGTTAGTTCTTGTCAACTACAGTTAGTTCTGTGAGGAAGCATACGAGATCTTCTTCTCAAGGAATCAGGAGACTCATCTGTTCCCAGAAATGGACTGCTAACTAAAAGTTTCTCGCTGCTGACTTGCCCACAGAGATGCAAAAGAGACAGGAGAGCTATCGTGGTTGATTCATTAGAGATCTCCTTGCCGATGACCTGAAACAACACATGCAACTCCAGCGAGAAGAGGAGAGAGGGAGGCATGTACACTACCATGTCTATGTCGGATGAGGTCTCTTGCAAGTGCTCATCATGTTCTCTTCCTCCTCACATAAAACAAATGCATGCCTACTTACTGCCATGTCGTTGCATCCTTTTTCCCTTTGGCTAAAACACATGCGTGGTGTTTCTGATAGCAGAAAGGCGACCAGCTCAGCTGTGGTTTCTGGAAAGAACATATGTTTGCTTGCTGACTGACAACTTTGTTGTCCTTCAAGAGCACCAGGTGGATGTAGTAAGTCTTGAAAGGACACGTAATCCACCCACATTGATGTGCTATTAGGTTAACTTAGTGTTTTTATTTTGATACTGAAATTAAATTTCATCTTAAATTGTGCGCTAGATTTTGAATGATATTGTAATATTATCATAGGATCTAAGATTAAGGGCACGCTTGTGCTGCTGCAGATAGTGTTATCATCGCTAGTGGACTTTGGCTTTGATATTTGAATCTGAAGCGTGACACGTGGATGGTTCTGAATTTTTTTTTTTACTTTTTTTAATTACTTTCTATCGTCGTATTTTATCTTTAAAAAACTCAATAATATTGGGCTCGCTGAGGCTGCCGCCTTAACTGGATCGAGCCGGGCCGATAGTGCGGCCCAATTTGGTGAGCTGGGCATCGCCGGTCCACGGCCGATTCTTTTCGACCGGATATCACACGGAAGATTTACCCTTTTCCTTACCTTTCCGTCTCTCATAACCCGGCCCCACTATGGGACCCATAGCTAATGGAGATCCCGCCCCGTCGTTCGAAAGCCCCGCCTCGCTCCTCCTTCATTTTTTAAAAGGGCTCGATCCGAGACCACCGGAGGCTCTTCTTTCTCCCCGCCATGGTAAGCCCTAACCCTGCTCCCTCCTCCGCACTTCGTGGAACCCTAATCTCTCCCCGCTGGTTCTTCGTGGGTTCCTTCGACTCTCGTCTCGTCGATCTTGTTCGTGCTAGGGGTATCGATCTCGGTGCCGGCGGTCGGAGCAAGAAGGCCAGACGCACCGCCCCAAGGTTCGACGATGTCTACCTCAAGCTCCTTGTTATGACCAGCTCCGCTCGGATTGGTCTCATTTCCACTTTTCTTGTTGGTTCTTGTGATGGATTTGGAGGTTTTCTTTGATCGGCTCTGCAGGTTTCTAGTGTGGAGGACGGAAGCAAGTTTACCACGGCGATACGAGAACGGCTCTTCACGAGCAAGATTAACCAGCCGTCCGTATCCCTCGACGGGCTTATCAGTTTCACGGAAGGTATGGTCCGATCTTTCTTCTTGGTTCACAAGTGTTTGTATCAACTCTCTGTACTAGAGGTACATCCATTCATTTCATTTTGATGAGCTGAGGAGGATGTTGGTGTACTACAATGTTTGACTAGCATGGACTTTCTATTCCATGATTAAAGATGAAAAGAGAGTGTATAGATGAACTTTCTGATTTAGGTTTCCTGGTTTCGTGTTTGATCTTAGGGGTGGTCATAATTTTGCAGTTGTGTGATCTATAGCAGCATGACTTGTTTAGAAATCATATTATTACCTGCGCCTGTCTTTTTTCCTACATTTTCCATGATTGGAATTTGTTCAAGATTGTGTTATCTACATTTTTTATGATCCATTCTTCACATTGGCCTTTTCAAAGTTAACCTAAAAGCCTTTTTTCCCTTTTTATTTGGAAAGACTTTTACTCGAGAAATGAACCGATCTTTCCTATTAATTATAGGATTTGATGAGGATAGTAATTATGATAAGACCCGGCCGACGTCAGATGACGTCTCACGCCTCGGATGACGCAACGGCACCCGGTCAAACGGACCGAAACACAGCCCGAGACGCATTAACGCCCACTCAGGTTCGGCTCTTCACGCCACGCAACGCCAGTGTCAGACGCCACCATCTGCCCCTACAAGCGGGCACATCAAACAACAGCAAGCTTCCCTATAAATACCCTCGCGCTCTGAACGAGCAAAGGGGGGACCGAAGGGGAAGAACGGAGAAAAAAGAACACACCAGGGAGACACCTCAAACTCTTCTTCTTTCTAACCCCTCCACCATCTACTGACTTGATCGTCGGAGGGGTCGGGTCGAGCCTCCCGACCCGACCTGTGTGCAGGACTGCAGACGGGGCGCGTGCCCAGCTGAGGAGCCCCCTCCAGCGGAGACGACTGACCCCGTCTCGATCGGACCGCCGTAACCGACTATCTCGGCGAACCCGAGGGTCGCACCGGGAAGATCCCACCATCCGGATCCGAACCGAGTCGCGTCAGCCCCGAGGCCCCGGCTCCAGGTTGTTTACTACAACAGGATTCATATCTCTTTTTTTTTTTTTTTTTTTTATGATGAGACTGATCAACCATTGGACTGTACAATTTTCTATGTTTTAGGATCTGCAGCTTTTGGAATTACTGCTACTCGCAATTTCTTGCCTAATGATTTGACTACTGTGACTTTGTTCTATCAGTCCAGACTTTTGCTCATTTAATATGATTTTGATAAATCTGAAATATAAACTTGGCAAGCAACATTACATTAAGCATCGATGTTTTATTTAATTTGATCAATGTTTTAGATCTTAATGATTGCGATTTTATGGCCATATAAGATCCATTTAATCGGTCCCAAATAATTGATATTTTATGATTTAGTTGTTATTGTTGTTTTGTATTTATGCTCACGTGAAGAGTTATGTAGAATCATAGTGCACTTTATTTTACATATAGCTATGTAGAATCATATGTATATATCGTATATAGTGCACTTTATTTTATTTACGGTCGCATCGCATCGCATCGCTACAGGAGAGGAAAAGAGGAAAGAAGGGGAGCGAGTTATGGCGGCTGCGGCGACGGCATCTCGGTTACTGAGCGCCGGAACCAAGATCATCGCCGTCGGGCGCAACTACGCCGCCCACGCCAAGGAACTCGGCAACGCCGTCCCCAAGGTTGGGTTCTCCACCAGCCCCCTCTCCTGCTCTCCCTCTTGTTGAATTCGACTTCCTCGTTTTTTTATTTCCTCTCGATCTGCTTCCCGCCCTCATGCTACAGATCGAAGATCCCTTCTCTTCTTTCTTTGATCGCTTCTTTTTTCTTTGATCAAATTGGCTTGCTCTGGATTCAGGTGCCGGTGTTGTTCATGAAGCCCACCTCGTCTTATCTCCAAAATGGAGGCACCATCGAGGTTCCGCACCCGCTGGAATCGCTGGATCATGAGGTGGAGCTGGCCGTCGTCATCGGGAAGAAGGCCCGCGATGTCACGGAGGCTTCCGCCATGGACTACGTCGGAGGTACTGGGATCTTTTCCTTGGGGCTGACTTGGATTCGGCTTCCTCTTGCCGAAGATTTTAAATTATTTTCTTTTTGTTACTAAAGAAATCTTCTTTAAGCTAAGGTTCGAAACAGTTCAGTTCTGCCTTTGTAATTGGATCAAATTCTATTGACGCTTGAAGACTTATCTTTGCTAGGTTTTGGCTTTTTTGTTCCATGGAGATTAGGTTTATTTGATACTTTCATTAGAATTTCAGAGCCTTTGTCTTATACACTGTTTGGCCATGCACTCATTAATAGCTGCGCTTTTTTATAAGAAAATTTTTAAGGGAGAAAGTCAAAGCGGAGTTCGTTTGAAAAGAACTGGATTAGTGGAGAACTATAACCACTAAATAGGTTAATGGTCCAAAAGTGCCAAAAGATGAATACAAGATCTTTAGGCATACACATCCATGAAACAGCACGAAGGCTCCACAAGTAATTTTTTCTTTAACATGTAAAGTTTGAGATTCTTTGCTTACAGGCATTCTTTGTAAGTATACTTAGATATGTGAAGTCCCACTTTGTTTGTTTGTAACAAAGATCATGAAGAGTTCATCATATGTGACTCTTAATGTTAATGTGTCTAACCTGGCAGTTGTTCATTTGTGACACTAAAAAGACCATCCGCTTGTGATGTTTGAATCTCTTCTTCACTTTTTACTGTAGTGTGTTAATTTTATTTTTATTTCTTAGAGCTGGTGTTATGAGAAAATTGTGGCTAGCTTTTCATTTTTTACTCTACCGCCGGTGGCAATTTCAGGTTATGCACTTGCTTTGGATATGACAGCAAGAGAAATCCAATCTGCTGCCAAGGTGAACAATTCAGCTTTTTTTTTTCTTTTCCGTAGTAGCACGAAGTGTTTAGGTTTTGCCATCAAATTTTGTAACAAGTGTGCTAGTTTGTTTATTATTTTCTGAGTAATTTGTCTGTTTCAGATACTTTTGTCAATTATTATCTATCTATAATAGAATCATAAAAAGCAGAATCCTATATAATCACACAGCAAGCAACTCCCACACTGCAAGGGGAAGGGAGATGGTTGGATTAGTATCAGGATATATATTCTTTAATGATAAATATATATATATATATATATATATATATATATATATATATATTCTATGTTATTAAAAGTACTTAATGTAGATCACTGATTAAATGTTTGCTTCGTGTCCTCATGGAAGCCTTTGATGTTTACACGATGTATTCAAAAAGGAATTTGCTTATCTTGAAGTTTGTTGCTGACTTTTGGCTAATCACGAAGTTTTCTTTTCACAAACCTTCACTTTGAAGTCTGTAGCTTTTCTTTGGATTTGGGTCTAGTCATTTGGCATCTTATAGTTCCTTTAATGATGCTATACAATTCTGTAGTGTTAAAAGGATTGCTGTGATATATACACAAATCAGAGTTCATTGAATGTGATAGTATGATGAACTTAATGTGACGGTTTTGCAGTTTGAAACATTAGTGATTAACAGGATTTTTGTTACACTCTGAGAGATTAATATTTTGTTATTCACAGTCAGCAGGTCTCCCCTGGACAGTGGCCAAAGGGCAGGATACCTTCACTCCAATTAGTGCAGTTGTAAGCAATTTACCTTGGCTTCCGTTTCCTTTTTTGTCACTTTGGTTCTTTTCTGTTTCATTTTTATGTTTTCAACTTTTTATTGTATATTTTTTGGTTGTGTAACTCATCCTGTGGGGACATTCTCCTAATTCACCTGCTATTCTATTGGTACAAGGGTCAGATCTTTTACATTGATAGAAATGCAATTTGAAGCATATGAAGGTCCAAGTGCATAATTTTCTTGCATAAGATCACTGATTGTATACCAAGATTTTTTTTTACAATCTTCTCAATGAGTAAACAAAATTAAGCGGGCAGCAAGCTTGAGTAGCTATTGCATGTATAATCAAGCTTGGGTTTTTGCATCTGTATCAAAGGTCTATATTGTATTACCTCCGGTTCATAGCATAGATGGTAAGGATGCAGATATGTATTTTGACATTTTTGTCAATGCAGCTTCCCAGATCAATGGTGGTGGACCCTAACAATCTTGAGTTATGGCTCAAGGTGGTTATCTTTTTCCCCCTCTCATTCATTTATTCACTAGTTTGTCTTAGCAATTTTCTGTATGTAATCATCAACATCTTATCCAGGTAGATGATGAAATTAAGCAGAAAGGGTCGACCAAAGACATGATCTTCAAACTTCCGTTTCTTGTAAGCCATATCAGTTCAATTATGACTCTCGTGGAAGGGGATGTGATTTTAACTGGTATGGTATCTTTATCTTGGCTAATTCAGATTGTGTGTCCTCAAGCAAACTTTATTGTTTTTTGATATTAAGTACCAGAAGCAGTTGCATGCATATATTAAGATAAATAAGTTAGATCATTGGTAAGATCAAGAAAGCAGAAGCTGGTGGTATGTAAATGAAGCATCCAATTCTTTACTTAGCAGCGTGTTGGTCTAGCAAGTGTTCTGCTGTTACGAAAAAGAAAAAGTTGTCAGCTTGCATCTGTGTGGCTGGTCATATATTTGCATCTATCTCGGCAATTGACCTTGTGTATGGTTACATCTAGCAAAAATGATTCGGACAATCCAACTGACCATCAAATTTCTGATCTATAGTTGCACAAAGCTAGTGGTACTGATGTGATGACCAACTCTTTTGGTCATTGCTGAGGTTACTAAGTATTTTGGTGCCAATGTTATGTAAAAAGCAAGTAATGTTTTCTGCTGTGCTCTTTATGTGTTTATGCAGGTACTCCTTCGGGCGTCGGCCCAGTGAAGATCGGCCAAAAGATCACAGCTGGCATAACAGGTTTAATAGACGTCCATTATGATGTTCAAAGACGCCAAAAACCATTGAGCGTCTAGGATGCTAAGGTATGAAAGAGCTAAAATCTGTGAAAAATGCCTCTGTTCCGGGAAATTTGAGGACTGGATCTGTGGATGCATCACTTGTGGCAAAGTTGTGTCAATAAAGGTTTCGTAATTGTTGATCCTCGAGACTTGTATGACTAGATTATTTTGTTTGAATGAAGCTGAAAGAAAATGGTAATTGAATTTTGGATCTACCGTACTCTTCCTATTTCGACTATCAGTCGATTGCTGCAATAAAATATTATTTCTGCATGGATATGATTCTTACGCAATTATCGTTGAGCATATAATGATACTGGAATGTCACATTAGGGATCAGCCATTGGTGTCTTATGCAGGTCATGGATCACAACATCGATTGATGAACAAATATTGAATCTAAGGAGACGGTCATTTATTTGCTGTTCTGAGAGAGTTTCACCAAATCTAGCACTCAGCTTGTAAAGATCGAGCACCAAAGGAACAAACACCTCAGAACCTTCGGATGAAGTCACAGATGTGGTCGGTGATCTCAGGCGCCTTCTCCTGGTTGATGAAGTGGGCTACTCCCTCCATGACGACTGCCTCCTCGAGCATCGGCACGTCTCTCCTGAATCCCCCTCCTTGTATGTACTCCTTTATCCCCGGGAAATGATAGGTCATGTCCTGGTCACCTATGATGAACTTTACCGGCACCTGTATCTGCACCCCACTCCATGGCGCACCCAACTCCCAGTTCCTGCATCGAACATACGTAACGTGCATCAACAAGAGTTCCTGCGTCAGCTCTACTACACACACCAACCATGCCAAGGAGCGCTTACAAGTCCAAGCATCGGTAATAGTTAACAGGACCGGTAAAACCGGACTTATCCAGCTTGCTCGCGAAGTAATCGATGTCTTCTTCCGAGAGCCAAGATGGCAGCGCCACCTCCGCCTCGAAATCTACCTCGCTTAATAAAAGCGGCCCTGCGTTACGATTGCACAAGACTATTCGCAGCAGCTTTCCAGTTCCGATGCGTGCAAACTCTGCTTCGATAGCTCCAGGTTCCTACGGGTGAAACGAATTATCAGCGAAAGACAGTCCGGAGAAGAGAAGACGGGCAAAGACGCGAGATGATGATACCTGGAACCTGCACACGTAGAAGTCATCCCCATAGAAAGACCGGAAGTGCTGTGTGGGCTTCCCTGCAGGGTTGCGGGGCATGAACGGGACGCTCAGATTCACCAGCGCCTTCACTCTATCTGGTCTGAACAGACACAGATTCCAAGCTATTTGTGCGCCCCAGTCGTGCCCCACCAGGTAAACCTGCAATCCGATTTACACCAACGAAGATAACTAGTATTGGTTACTTGGCTCTATCTGCAGACTTCAATTTTAATGTTCTAGAAAAAGGAGATAGGCAAAAATAATTGACGAGAATATATAATATAAAAGGAAAATTCAAAGGATAAGTGGCGAAGGATTTTAATTTTAATGGTACCAGAAAAAGGAGTCAGGCATATTAATTAATGAGAATAATAAGCACTCTGCAAACGATAAGTCTTTATCCTCATAACAAAAATATTTTGATAATTATATTTTAAATACTATGAAAATTAATAGTTGATCTATTGAGAGGATAAAGGGACAAAGTCGATCACCTGTGGAATGGCGAGAGCGTCGAGGAGGGCGATGAGATCCCCGACGATGTGGAAGACGGTGTAGGAAGCCGCGGCGGACGGGGCGGAGGTGTCGCCGTAGCCGCGGAGGTCCGGTGCAATGGCGCGGTAACCGCGGGCGGCCAGGCCGGCGATCTGGTGCCGCCACGAGTACCAGAGCTCCGGGAAGCCGTGAAGCAGCAGCACCGCCGGTCCCTCCCCCTTCTCCGCCACGTGCATGCTGATGCCGTTCGCCTCCACCATCCGATGCGCAACCCCTTCGCCCTCCATCTTCCTTCTCTCTCTCTCTCGATCACCAGTAGATGAAAGCAAGGAAAATAATATTCTATCGGAGTCGTGCCACAGACTCCGCGTTTGCATGTCACAGTCCTGCACAGAATCTTTTCAACGATTCAGTATCGTCCGCGAACTCGATTGCCTTCTCGAATTTGCCAAAGTCAGAACACAGGTTTACATCACTTTCCAGGATCGAAGTTTCTATGCGAACTACACAGACGTAGTCGGTGTTGCAGAAACAATTGGGTCAAAGAAATACTAACCAATGGTCTTAAGCCCTGTCATTCTTGTAAGTGACGTTTGACCGAGCTGGTCTGCGAATGCTTCGTTTTGTATCCCTGTCAGTGCGCATCTCCCTTTCCTTGCTCAAGAATACAAACAAGACGAACGAAGGCCGGCGTCGCTCCTCCATTGTCACATTATCTGTTTCTTGCATCTTTTCTTACTTCTCCTGATGGGGGCGAAGAGGAAGAGAAAAGGGAAAGAGGCCGAGCAAGAGAAGAAGAAGAAAATGATTATTTAGCTACCGAAATCAAGGTTCGTACCGTACCGAAACTCCGTACCGAAGTTTCGACCCGCGGGCTCGGATTTTATCGATTTATCCCTATACCGAGGTGTACCGAGCGGTACACCTGATTTTATCGATTTATCCCTCTAAAATATCTGAAAATTAGAACAAAAAGGTTAGGATAGTGTTGGCAAGTTACAAATACATACTTCTTGATTAGAAAACGAATACATACCTCTTGATTAGAAAAGTTATGATAGTCTTAATTACTCTCTAATTAAAAAAAAATGAATATATATCTCTTGATTAGAAAGTTCTTCTCGTTGTTTTATAGAGTTTATGAGAGAAAAAGAAAGTTTGAGAGAGAGTTTAAGAGAGTATAATGAAATAGGGAAGAGAAGAATGGTTTAAATAGGAGGAGAAAAAGCTCCAACGGTCAAATTGACCGTTGGAACACTATAACACTGCTACTGTGTGGTAACGATCGATTTCGACTGTTACTGAGTGGTGTCGGACGGTAGCCGACGGTCCGTGTACCGGTAATCTGCCGGATCGATACGAGCGGTGCGCTTCGATACGATAGACCTTGACCAAAATAATGATAGAGACAAAGATGGAAACAAAGATTGAGAGATGGTAGGCTATGACGATTTGCATTTAATAGTGCACGATATTATCTTCTCATAAAGATCACGACCGTTCCAAATTATTATTCTTCTAATAACAAGAGCATAAAGCAGTGACCTGCCTTCCATGGTCTCACACAGAACAAAGTTGGATCACTCGTAGGGAATAACATTAGAACTTGCGGATGAAGTGATAGATATGATCAGTAATCTCATGCGCTTTCTCCTGGTTGATGAAGTGAGCCACCCCCTCCATGACCACCACCTCCTCCAGCATGGGCACATCTTCCTTAAACCCACCTCCGTGCAGGTAGTCCTGGATGCCTGGGTAATGGTAGGTCAGATCCTGATCACCCACAATGAACTTGACCGGCACTTGTATCTTCACCCCACACCATGGTGCTCCCAGTTCCCGGTTCCTGCATCAATCATTCGATTATTTCACTCATATAACCAATAGTAGTATATTATCCAGCACCAACAAACACTAGAATTAGTCTCATAGGACTTGCTCGATTGATTGATGGATCCATCATCTCATCGAAGGGATCATGATATATAGATAGTATCAAAGCCGGCCTAAGGGATCCTTACAGGTCCAAACATCGGTAATAGTTAACAGGACCAGTAAATCCAGACTCGTCAAACTTGCTTGTGAAGTAGCTTATATCTTCTTCCGAGAGCCAATCAGGCAATGGAATCTGCCTATCGAGAGGAACAAAAGCTTCCTTGGGCAGCAACAAAGGCCCTGGATTTCGAGAGGCAAAGACCATTCGGAGGAGACTCTCCGTTCCAAGGCGATCGAAGTCTGCTTCTACGGCTCCTGGTTCCTGCATTTGTACGTGTGTTTATGCATAGAAGAAAAAGACTCCTAAAAAGATGATGATCAAAGCATGGAGAGAAATGTTGTTAATTTACGCATAGGTATTAAATCATGAACAAAGGGTAAACGATGAAGATGGTATTTGATCCGAGAACCTATAGTGTGTGTATGTGTGTGTTAGACTATAACTCTATGTATCATGTAAATTGGTAGAAGAAAATAACCATGATAAATATACGTCTCCTTTATTCGGCCATCGACCAAATCAGACAATTCCTCGCGAGCCTAATGCTGTATTAATGGCCAGCCAACCAAATGATCCCTTATCAGTCATTCGTGAAATATGAAATATAAGGTCTACTCTAACAACTTCTTGTCAAACATAAGCAAAACATTCTGCACTGATCAATCATCACCACACTATGAACCAATTGACAAACTTTCGGATTGCTTGCAAAGTTCCCATCTCCCCTAAACATCAGGTGACATCTATTATGGACTATGTTCATAGAGAAGTTAGATGTAACAGCTAAAGAAGGAACGAGCCAGACCTGGAACCTGCAGACATAGTAGTCATCCCCGTACAACGATCTGAAGTACTCCACGAGCTTCCCTGCAGGATTTCGAGGTATAAATGGAACCAGCGCGACGCTAAGGTTCACCAGTGCCTTCACTCGATCAGGCCTAAACAGGCACATGTACCATGCTACGAGTGCCCCCCAATCATGCCCCACCAAGAACACCTGGGGATGAACAATTTGGATGGTGAGAAGAAATTACATGATGCCAACCAAATCATCATCTTCAATGTACTCATAGTTATGAGGCGCAGCAAAAGTAATGTATTTTCTTGCTGCTGATTTCTGTGCCGTCGACTCGATCGAAAGCAGAAGAAACGAAGATTTGGAGAAATCAGACACGTGATCTTATTCTGTAACAGCAAGGAGACGAGGCGATGTGACCTGAGGGATGGCGAGGGCATCGAGGAGGGCGACGAGGTCGCCGACGATGTGGAAGACGGAGTAGGAGGCGACGGAGGGCGGGGCAGAGGAGTCGCCGTATCCGCGGAGGTCGGGCGCCAAGGCGCGGTAGCCGCGGGCGGCGAGGCCCAGGATCTGGTGGCGCCACGAGTACCACAGCTCCGGGAAGCCGTGGACGAGCAGCACCACCGGTCCCTCCCCCTTCTCTGCTACGTGTATGCTGATCCCGTTCACCTCCACCGTCCGATGGGTGATCCCGTGCTCTTCCATCTCCCTTCTCTCCTTCTCGCCTCTGTCTCTGTCTCTCTCTCTCTCTCTCTCTCTCTCTCTCTGTCTCTCTCTCTTTCTATCTTCGGCAGGATAAGAGACGCCTTTCTTCAATATGCTCTAGATATTACGGAGAGATTTGCTCGAACGTGGTAGATTCAACCCCCCACCTTATCTCGTGGCAGATTTGTTTGGCTTTGTAAGGAAATTGATTTTGCTCGTCCTGTTAAACAAGGCCTGTCGTCTTCCAGACAAATCTATCTTTGTGTGGCTGCGTCAGTCACGAGGATGTCTATTGCCCATCCACCTCCTCGGTGCACCCATTGGTTCTGGTCGAGTCGCACGGAGCAACCTCCTATGGGACTGCACGGCTCTGCTGCTGACGCACAAATCATGAAGAACCCCTGTTTTGGGTCTTGGATCTGTGCGGACAAACCTAGCGCTCCTCACGCTGTACAAGGGTGATGACGACGGCTAAGAAGCCATCGGAGGTGAGCCCCCCCACCCTGTGGGGTGACATTTACCATTAATGCTGATGAGGACGCAACGAGGATAACATCCTTTGCCATCGTTTCATCTTGCCAAGATCCGCCGTTACTTCTCGATGACGCCGCTACTTTGCAGACTCCACCCTCTCCGGGAGGCTCCCATCATCAAAGACCCGTACGGCTCGAGGCACGAGGAGATGCATATGACGTTGATGCATCAGATCTCCCGAGCGCCGGATCACCACCTCGAACCTACGGTGATACAACCATGCGCCTCCACTGTACCGGTTGCCGGTGAAGTGGTTGAGGCTGAATCTTCTTCATCGGCCTCACCTTATGCCCAGCATGTAGAAAGGGTGGCGCCTACCCTCCAGGCTGTTCTGTCGTCGACCTCGCTTGATGTCAAGCATCTAAGATGGTGATGGACGTCAAATGTCAAGCGGTGACCGTTGTCATTAAAGGGAAACGAGAGTCCCTTTCGTTCTCCGTTCGTTCTCTTAGTCAATCGATTATTGACAGATCAACGAGATGAAGATTGACCACGAAACCTCTTAGGAATTTGACTATAACAACGTTGGTCGCTGGCCAAAGACAAAAGCAAAACTTCGATGAAAAAAATAAAATATAAAAATAATTATTGAAGAAATTTTATTAAAGATTTCTCACTAATATCATGATGAAAATAATTGAAGATAAGAATAATTATTAAAAAAAATTTATTGAATAAATTTTATTGAGAGATTTCCCAGAAAAATCTTATCTTCTATCGTTATCCTTCTTCATTTTCATCACCTGGCTCATCTCGTACTAAAACACAATCCTGATGTCATCTTAGTGTAAGGACAGACACTCGCCATCTCTTCAATTGGAATCTGTCAATCGAAGTGATATCTTTCAATCACAATGGACATTGTATTCGTGCTATAGTGAAAATTCAAGGACTTATTACTGTAGCTTCAATCTATAATTTATGGTAACACTAATAATCTTCTTACAAATAGTATATGAGATTCATTAACTAAATTTATGTTGCTTGTGACAAATGTAGGAGTCTAGCATTCTATGTTATCTTTTTATATTTATTATTTTCATAATTTTATCTCCAATAACGATCTTCAACATCTTTGAGTTTGAAGCTCCTAAGTTTATATGAACTAATAATTGAAAGGTTTTTGTCAAAGTTTGGGTTCATCTTGATCAGGTTTTGACTATCGTCTGCTAGCTTTATGTTTTTGACAACTTTTCTATTTTACATCTTTTGAGATGATATTATAATCATTGTTCCCTCTAGTTAATGTCAATGTTATTTAATTTTCAGATTTTAGCTAAAAGAAATTTATCTCATTTTCATCACAAAGATTTTTATAACCTAATCAAAGCTAATTGGAAAGTTTCTAAATCTCCCACTCTTTATGGTTTTGACTTTAGTACTAATTTGAGAAATATTAAAGAATCTCTAACGTAAAAGTGTTATCCTTAGTTCCAAATTAGGGATTTGAGGTTTTAGAGGCTACTAGAGATCTTAATGGCCTTGCGTTCATTGATCTCTTATTCTAAGCCATCATTCGATAGCTTAATATGAAGTAATGGGTCATGGTAAAATTCAAATGGATTATCAATGACAATCGTAATCATCAATACTACCACAATCGGATTACCATTCGCCATCATCAAAATAGGATATAGCTTTGTTGAACAATACTATATGCTCTATAATCCTTCTCGTGGATTAATACTTCATTTCTTGTGTGGTATAACATGAATAATCTTTCTGTTGATGAGGGCTCATCTCTTGTCATTCCTTTTCAGAGGTTGTTCGATCATTAGGGTACGATAAGAGTTCTAGCCTTGATAGTTATTGTGGTAAACAACTTTGAGTCGTGGCCTCGGGACCGACGCGGCTCGGTTCAGGTCCGGACGACGGAGATCTCCCTGGGGCGTTCCTCGAGCCCGTTGGGGTGGTCGGATGCGGTGGTCCGATCGGGACGGTGTAGCCGTCTCCTCCGGGCAGGAACCCCTCGCCTGCGCGTCCGGCAGGGACCTTCGACTTCGCACCTGCACAAAAGTCGGGTCGGGGTGCTTGGCCCGACCCCTCCGACGATCAAGTTAGCAGATGTGGAGGGGGTTTCAGATGAAGAAGTGTTTTGAGTCTATTCCCCTCCCCTTCTCCTGATGAACGAGAGGGTATTTATAGGAAAGCTTACTGCTTCCTGATGTGCCCGCCTGCAGGGGGCAGGCTGATAGCGTCTGACATGGGCCTTAGCGTGGCATGAAGAACCGGGCCTGAGTAGGCGTTAATGTGTCTCGACCGATATTCCGGTCCGTTTGATCGGGTGTTATCACATCGATCGAGGCGTGAGACGTCATCTGACGCCAGCCGAGTCTTATCGTAATTACTATCCTCATCCATAGTTATATTGTAGAATTTTATAGAAATAGTTGGGAGACTATTGCTAATCACCTCATGGCATCATTCAATCACTTTTACTCTTCTAGTATCGTTGACTTCGAGTGGACTATCACTCATTATTTTCATTCCCAAGTGTAACAATCCTATCTTGATCAAAGATTTTAGACCTATATATATATGTGTAATGTCAACTATCAAATTTTGGCTAAGACTCTCACTAATAGATCGAAACCTTTTCTTTTCTTTTTAGGGTTATCTTGAATGAGCAATCAACCTTTTTAGCTAAGAGGGGTATTGATGAGGATAGTAATTATGATAAGACTTGGCTAACGTCAGCCGACGTCTCACGCCTCGATCGATGTGATTGCACTTGGTCAACCGAACCAGAACACTGGCCGAGATGCATTAACACCTACTCAGGCGGTTCTTCACGCCACGCCAACCCCCATGTCAAACGCTATCAGCCTGCCTCCTGCAGGCGGGCATGTCAAACAACAGTAAGCTTCTCTATAAATACCATCGCATTTTGAACGAAAGGGGGAGGACAGACACATACACAAACACTTCTTCTCTTGAAACCCCCTCCACATCCTCTAACTTGATCGTCGAAGGGGTCGGGTCGAGCTTCCCGACCCGACCTTTGTGTAGGTGCGAAGCCGAGGGTCCCCGCCGGATACGCAGACGAGGAGTTCCTGCCCGGAGGAAACGACGACCCCGTTCCGATCGAACCATCGCACCGGACCGACCCCGTGGGCTCGAGGGACGCCCCCGGGAGATCCCCGTCGTCCGGACTCGAACCGAGCCGCGTCGGCCCGAGGCCACGGCTCCAGATTGTTTACCACAACATGTATTCAAGATAATATTCTTATTGTTAAGAAAATTTCTCATCGATTATTTGATTCCAAAAGTAAGAATTTATCGGTGATCATCAATATAGATGTGGAGAAAGCTTCTTATATATACTCTCTTAAAAAGCTATTATTAATGTCATACAAACTTTCAATTTATCGTATTTTCTCTCCTATCTATTTATGTTGTACAACATTTCTAATCCCTTCAAAGGTAATCGGGGTATTAGGCAAACTGATCCTTTGATCCTTACCTATATATTCTCATTGCCCAACTCCTTATTCACTTCCTTAATGGTATCGCCTCGTTCTTCTGCGATGGGCATAATCCTAAGCGTGCACGCATCTCAAGGCACGATGGACGCACAGGACGTGTAGCGAGCCAGCCGGGGCGGTACAGCGAGGACTCGAGAGGGTCAACCTGCTTTGCGACAGGCATGATCATACGTCTGCACGCATCTCAAGGCCTGATGAACAAAAGGCCGCGTAAGGAACCAGCTGTGACAGCGAAGCGAGGCCTCAAATATCGCTTCGCTCGGCACTGCGGCACAATCATTTGTGTGCACACATCTCAAGGCTTGATGGACGCACCCTGCGCTTGGGTCGCGTCGAGAGCGGACCACGTTGCTATTGCCGACCGTGTCTGACTTGAACCGCCGTGTCACCCTTCTCTTCCTTATAACACGCCACAATAAATATAACACAATTTCTCGTCATTTCTATTTCGTTTACTTGTATTTCTCTTCCTCGGTCCTGTCTTCTCCCTTCGACTCCGTCTTCCTTCTGCCTCCGATCCTCCCTTTCTCTTCTCCGTTACTTCAGACGGGAGCAGGCGCTGATGGAGATCTCCGCGGTCGTGTCCGACGCTTTCTCGGCAGTCGCCACCCAAGGCCTCGGCCTATCCGCCAAGCTCCTTCTTCCCCGCTACTCCCTCTCCCTCTCCGCCGTAGACTCCGGCGCTCCCCCTGCCGTGGTCAGATCCGACCCCTTCCGCCCCGCCGCCGTCCCCCGAGCCTTCGTCCGCCGGACCAGGCGACGCACCCGACGGAGATCCCTCACCGAGGGCGGCGGCGAGGACGACGGGTTCTCTGGCGACGGCGATGGCGACGATGGCCCCTTCGGCGGAGGAGGTGACGCTGGAGGCGGCGGAAAAGGCTGGAACTCGGGCGATCAGGGGCCGGATTGGGGCGGATCCTCGCCGTCGTCGTCGGACCCGGCATTCGATTTCATTTACGAGGTCATGTGCTGGATCGCCCTCTCCAACTGCGCCCACTTCGCTTTCAAGAAGATGGGGCGGCTTCTGGCGACGAGGGGAAAGGTGTTTCCTTTGAGATTGTTGCCGTCGGTGTGCTGATCGGAGACCGGTAATAACGATGACAACCTCATGGATTAGGGTTTCCTCCTTTCACTCTTTCCATTTTGATGCATATAACATGTACATAGACATTTCCTTTTCATACGTTCACGTGCATATATCACTACGCTTGCAACATGTATTATTCCTAACAAGTTTATCAACCAAAAGAATGTTCTTTTCAATATGTTTATACTGATTTCTGTACTGAGATTGATAGATTGCTCTCATTGTGATCTTTTCTTCTTCATTAACGCTTGGTGAAGTTTTACTTGGACATCGATGCGGAGCAAGGAAAATGAATCTTATACATGCTTGGTACAAAAAGTTGACATTGAGTTGCTAATCGTTGGTGTGCTTGCTTAGACCTTAAAGCAATTTTATTTGCATGAGGTATCATGATTAACAATTGATTCCAGTCAATACCATTTTGTGTTTTTATCTTCATGCATATTTGTTGCTCTATAGGTTTCTAAGCTTCTATCATTGTTTGGAAACCAGAAGAGATGGATTTATTTTTCGTATCTAATGAGAATTTATTTGGTTACACCTACTGTTTTAGTAGGTGCATCCGGTTTTTACTGTATTCATCATCTATATAATCACATTATCTGTATGCATGACTGCAACTTTCAGTGTGAAAACTCAATTGATATAGCATAAGTATGTCCTGTTAGCAATTGTTTGCACGATTGAATGGAAAATCAATTGAAAGTTGAAATTTTGGGCAAATAAGTCTTTGGAGACGGGAAGCTATAGACAATGGAACATCAAAATTGATATGTTAGAAAAGTTTGTATGGAATCATGTCTTCAAATAAAGGTTGAAACTCATGCGTGGGTCCTCATGATGTTGTATAGATTGATGAGAGTAATAAAATCATTGTGTTTGAGCTAGAAAGTTTGATAAGCATTACAAAATAGTAAACAGAAATATGCTAACGAGCGAGGGATTTCACAAAACCCTCTTATCACCATAGGAAATACTCATTTGACTGGTAAGGAATTGAATACTAATCACTAGTTGATTTAATTGGTAATACTCATTAGACTGGCTTCTTTTTTTTTTTACTTGACGGGATATGCATTATCGGGAGAAGACTGTCTAATAAAAATCTAGCTAGGTATTTGAGCTTGCAATTATCTGTAGTTTGGGTAGTATTATGTCAAACAACTCATTGTCACATTTCGAAGCTTATTCAAGTAAAATGCACTTGCTTAGCAGATTTGAGCTTCTTTTTTCTATGGATGATGCTTCTATGTGATTATGACTAAACACAGTAAGATACAGAGTAGGATATGGCTGTCAGCACAGAAGGTGTTTGGTGGTTAATGCTTCTGTGGATTTGTCGTTGTTTTGTGCTTCTGTATGGTTCAACAGGACTTGTTGGGAGTGTTCATATTCTGTCTTCCTAATCATCTCTGTTAATCTGAACTTTTGTTTATGAAGAACTTTGTGTGCAGTTCTAAAATGGAAAGTCTGTGTGCGGTCATCTACAATTAGAAAGCCTGGAAATGTGTATATAAATGGAATGCTTGTGCAATGCTGGATCAACATATGCAATCCAAATCTTCTAGTTTTTTTGTGTTTGGAACTGCAATTTGCTTCCCTACGCATTTGGCTGTCAGTATTTTCTATTATGATTTGCTCAAGAGCATTCCCTTTGGGATGTGAACAAACAGCATAAGGCATTTTGGCCATTCTTTCTCCTCGGGTTAATTTTCTGTATAGAATAATTATAGATTCATCAAAAAAATATAAAATTATCACTATCGATCTATTTGAGAGAGAAAATACTATTGATCAATTATCATCTAATACATGACCTATATGTGACAATCGAATTGGCATAAGGGACACAAGACTTGACCAAGGGACTTGTTGTCTCTCTTTTTGTCGGCTACATGGATAAAAGTCAAATTGATTGTTAGAAGCTATTAGGGGTTGTCCCCTTAGAGGATATTAGTTACCTTCTTATCACTTCCACCTCACCTCGAGAAAGTGAAGAGCATCTTGGATGATCAACTTTCCCACCGGTGAGGAGTGTAGATATGTGGTATGATCACATAGATAATCTAACTTTTAGGATACATGAATTTCAAGAAAGAAATTGTGATCGATAGATCTCATCTCCTAGAGCAGTATCTCAATTTTCATGATTTTTTTCCACGTAAGGAGAGTTGATGGGGATCATAGTACTATCACACAATTATCACACAATTATGACGATCTACGAGGACACGAAGAGCTTCAAATCATTACATCAAGACCATATGAGTATGCAAGTGTTCATGCTATATATATTTTATTTTCTTATGAGATTATAATAGGATATGGGATACAAAGGGAACGTTATGCATATATCTTAAAGTACATATGATAGAGAATCTTGGAGTGGACACATATCTCCATCCTATGAACCTCTAACCCACTGTCTTATAGAAGAGGGTATATGATATTCATATAAGAGTGGACACTTGTCCCTGTTAAGGGATATTTATCTTTATAAAAAATTGTAAACCCTACAATATGAAGGGATGAAGAGTTAATAGCTTGTAACTATCAAGAACCTTAGGTTATATACTTAAGTGAGAAGAGAGTCCTCGAGGGTGAGAGGCCCTGTCATGTCTATTCTTTCCATTTCGTTCCTCTCCACGACCTTTCTCCTTCATTTTCAACCATCACAACAACACTATCATTATCACATAAGTAGGGCTAACACTAAAAGGAGCAACAACCTTATGTGTCTATTGAGTCATCTGCTCCACTACCGTTTTACCATCTAAGTTCAATAGCATTAGATCATTTTCAATTATGTTAAGAATTATTTATGTGAGGAATAGTCTCTGTCCACAAAGCTTAAGTGATATATTAACTTGATTGTACCTTGTTCAATAGAATTGATATATTAACATGAGTTGTTTATGAGAGGAATAGGATTGTTACTACTTGTATTTCTTTAAGTTCTTAGACTTCATCATCTCTTAATACATCATTTATTTTTGCTCATCACACATTACATCACTCACCCTTATATCATACACTCGAAAACGAATTAAGATATATTTATTCACAGAATATATAAAAAATAAATTTATTAATTAAATATTCTAAAAAATTTTAAAAATAGATAAATGTTACTATTAATGTTAGAATTTATTATAGCAGGGTGGTAAAAGTTTGAAATGGTTTAGCTGAAATTATTTAACACTTGAAAATAAACTATGATACACTCATTCACAAAATTTATCCAAAAATTCTAATTTTTAATAATTAATTATTTAAAAAATCTCTAAGAGTAAAAAATACTAATGATGGTAGAATAATGTCATAGTAGATTTTCAAAAGTTTGAAATGTTTTATTAAAGTTGAATCTATTATACTCTAAAAGAAACTAAAATACATTTGAACTTATCCAAAAATCTAAATTTTAATAATTGATTATCTTAAAATCTTCTAAAAATAAAAAATAAAATAGTATATTGGTAAAATTTTGAAATAGTAGTTGTTACACTAAAAATAAATTAAATACACTCGGACTCATCTAAAAAAAATCTAAAATTTGACAATTATTAGAATGATGCCATTCTAGGTCAGCGAAAGTTTGAGATAATCTAATGATGTCCTACACGCATATTTATATAGCACAATTACAAGATTCTCGACATATTTATATGTTGACTTTTATTCATATTAATTATGATATTATCACTATTTTTATTTTAAAAAAAAAATATATATATATATAAGAGTAAAATATATTTTATTTTGATGAAAATTTCGGCTAATAGTCAAATATACCGTTTCCTTAAAATTTACAGGGATATTTATGCTAAAAATAAAATCAATAAGGATAAGTCCATAAATTGTTTATTTGGAGGGGTGTATACATACATATCCATCTATGTCTGTACATATATGCAAGTGTGCCCCTTTCCTTCTTCTTCTTCGTCGTCTTCGCTCTGTCGGAACGCGAGATTGCAGTCGGTCAATCTGAGGGCCGAAAGAAGCAAGACTAGAAGCGGCTCAGGAGGAGGAAGGACGCGGAAGAGAGATGGTTCGTTCTGATCTCTCTCTTCTCCCTCGACTTCTTTTCCGCGCGCCTAGACTGAATTTTCTCTTTCTTTCGTTTCACGCGACCTTGTTTGGATGAATTCGTTCGAGGTTTTCTGAGGTCCACCTGATTCACTATGTCAACTGCTCGGCCGGTTCATTCGTAACGCTAGCTGATGTTAATTTTTCTGATTTTTCTTCTATTCATTTCGAGTTCCGTCAGAAGGACTCGTGCTAGTCGCCTTGCAGTTTTCCTTTCTTCTTGTTCGAAAGATCCAAAATTGATGTTTTATTGGTATACTGCTAGCGATATCTTTTATTTACTGTCTGAGAGATGATAAGAACCGAGAATCATTTAATTAGGAAGGAAAAAAATTTCTCTCTTATTTTTGTCTGCCTATTAATTTTAGGTTTCTATCATACTAATAATTGAGATCTCCTTGCGAATAATGATGGAATCGTTAGATGAACTATTGGGTGTTTTGTGTTGGTCTCCACGTTGACTCTATTGGCAGTGGAGCAAAAAACCTAGTTTGATCACTTGCATAGATGGTCTCTCTTGTCATGTCAAAGGTTTAAACTTTTGTGTTGGTTTCTCTTGTGGTAGATCGTTTTGTAGGGACACTATGTCGATATATAAGAGTTTGTTGGATAAGTTTAGGTTTGTAGTAGCTGCTAATACTAATGTATACAGTATGGTTTACTTCTTGTTGAATGGATCATTGCCAAATTGGTTTTATATGTCTTCTATTTTAGTACAAACTTCTTTTTTTTCTTTAATACATCGTGTGCCTTGGTTGTTCTCTCATTTTCTTTTTCTAATTATGCCAGATTCACTTTGTACTTCTAATTAGTCGACAAGGAAAGGTTAGATTGACAAAATGGTATTCTCCTTATTCACAGAAGGAAAGAACCAAGGTATATACATGCAATTCTGCTTCAATTTTTGGTATCATCTTTTAATTGTTTCCTTCAGTTCACTAATTTGTTTTGTCAGTTATTCTCTTGGCTGTAAAGTCTGTCTGTGCATGACTATTAACATTGTGCTTATTCTTTTCCTTATCTTGGAAGATATGTGTTCCGTTTGACCTAGCTAGACTTAAAGGTATAATATTCTTAATATTACCTAGAAATTATAAGTCAACTTCATTCTTGTTTCTAGAGGTCGTGTGGTAGTTCTAAACTAACTCTAGATGGGATTAGTCATCTTCTAGCCAAGCAACTAGCTTATAACACTACTAGAATGGTTGATGGTTACCGTTCTTGTTATTCAACTTATGGAGTTCTAGTTGGACTTAAATTGCTACATGACTAAACAGAGAAAATGTGTGATTTTTTTTTTGGAAATACCAAAGTCTTTGGGCCAATAGGGCCCTATATATTTCTCTATACTAAAAGAGAGTTTCTAGATGCATTTTGGGATTGGTGCTTGTCCTAAATGGTGCTGGTCCTATTTGTGTTAATTTAAGTTCACTTGTTCAAAATGAAACTCATATATTTATATGCGTCTGTGTATATGTGACTGAAAGGACTACTGGCAACCTGTTGGACATGGATATGTTTTTTTTCTCTTTATTTTCTTTAGGCTTTCCAGAAGTTTGATATTGTGAACCCAATTCACAAACATTCGATTAACTGGACTGTGTCACCCCAGAAGAGGAATGGACATGAGAAGAAAAGCTAGAAATTCTATAGATCATAGAATACCACCCTGTCATGAATCCTGGTAATGTAGGTGAGAATGCTAATGGATTCAAATAATTGGGAAATAGGGGACAGTTGGTTTTGTTCAAAAGAAATCCTGTTCGACCTAAAAAGATGATGCACATTCTTTTCCTTGGGTGGGCAGCTGAGGAACAAGGGAAAGGATGTTCTTGGATGCCTGGTTTAATAACCTTTTCTTAACTATTCCTTTTCAACATCTTTATTTTTTTTGTTAATATTCTATTCTCTGTTAGCCCTTCAATATTACTCTTGTTTTGCTGATTCTGCTACTAATAGGTTTAGTTTCTCATAATCTATTGATTTCTCTTTGGTGTTTCATTCTCCATACATCTTCTGCACTCGCTATGGTAGAATCATATTGCATTCTTAGAAGTGAGAAGTGAAAACTGAATTACCAAACTTTTTTTCTTTTGAACATCTGTTTGAGTACAATAAACCAACCTGAATCTGCTAATCCATAAAATTTCTTATTCAAGCTTTCATCTGATTCCTATGGATGTGATCAAAATCTGTTGAACGTATCACCTTATCTGTCTTGGTCAAATCTGAACCAAAATTCTTATTCTCTTTTTTGCATCCTTCATTCCCTCTTATATTCTCTTGAGGTTAAATTTAACTGCTATTTCTTGGAGGTGTTTTTAGAGTTTCCATATCTTATAATATATTGGACGATGAGGTGATTTCTAGACTCAATTACCCGATGTTAGATCCACTGTAAGATTACCATATATCGATTCATTTGTTCTGTATCAGCTTGTGGCTCCAGACTCTCTTGTTCTTGTATTTAATGGATTGTCTGTTCTATTTTATCTAAATCTTTCTGCCAGGAAAGTTCACTATTTTGGTTAAAAGTGTCAGTTTGAGTTGCTATTTCTTTTGCTCTTTTCTATTCAATAAGAACATAAGGTTGATAGCTTTGTTTTGTTTAATTTCATTTCTATTAACATACCCCTTTTCTCACTAAGGTCATTCGAGAGCTTAGTGGGTTGATACTTGCACGAGGCCCAAAGCTTTGCAACTTTGTTGAATGGAGAGGATATAAGGTTGTCTATAGAAGGTAATTCTCTTGTAGGAATTCAATGAGTTCCTGCTACCTTAGTTGCTGCCAATTCTTCTCTTTCGGAGGCAACTTTGCTACTTTTAATAGGTGAAGTTCTTATACTTTCAAGATACCATCTGCAGATATGCCAGTCTTTACTTCTGCATGTGCATCGATGCAGATGACAACGAATTAGAAATTCTTGAAATTATCCATCATTTTGTTGAGATACTGGACAGATACTTTGGCAGTGTAAGTCTATGATTTTTTAATTATATTCTACTCTTAATATAAGCAACATCTGTTTATTACAATATGAACATATATGTTTCCTTAACGTTAGGTTTGCGAGCTGGATTTGATATTCAACTTTCATAAGGTACTTTGTATGGCCGTGGAGATGACTTTCTTCATATCTTTTCTAGTTGATCTCATGCTTACTTTTGAACTGGTCAGGCATACTACATACTGGATGAAATTCTCATTGCCGGGGAACTCCAAGAGTCAAGCAAGAAGACCGTTGCTCGGCTTATAGCTGCACAAGTATTTAATTCCTTGTCACTGTGCTTGATATTGATGTTGTGACCTATGCTTAGAGTGAAGAAAGAAAATTCATACCATCCTGTTTTCGACTCATGGCAATTAGCTTATATACATCAAGAAATAATCATTTAGCTAATAAATAAATATAAATAGGTGTTATTCTAATAAGTTCTCCTGTTTGATGAAAAAGGTCATCCACTTGATTAAATATACAAAATGAATACTTAGAAAAAGAAAAACTGGTATACTATAGTGGTTTCTCTCGTCATTGAAGGATTTCCTTTTGAATTCCTAAGTTGTTTCATCAAGGTCAATTGGTGGTATAATTTCTTATAAATATGCACTTATATATCTGTGTATATGTACACCAACAAGACTATGGCATGTTCTAAGCATAGGTTCCCCAGGTATATGGTGAGTGGTTTTCTTATGTAGGATCGAGGATTACAATCAGGATTCATGTCGAGAAAGAAATTTTTTATTTTTTGGATTTTACCGACTGAAACATATTTCTTACTGCTTTTTTAGGGGCTTTCTCTATTTTGACATGCACACTTAACATGTTGGCCAAGCTATTCAGATGTTGAGTTACTGTGCTAACGATTGGATCTTCTTCTGCAGGACTCACTGGTGGAAGCTGCAAAGGAGCAGGCAAGTTCTGTAAGCAATATGATTGCACAGGTCACCAAATAGGGTTCCTCCAGTTTCTGTATCACAATTCCCTTCAAACTTGTTGATCTCATCTCATCTCATCGGGACTGTAATTTTCCCACCAACTGTTTGTTCACAGACGTCGTTGATATGATCAGTCTTTCTTGCTTGATATGATTAGTGTCGACTTTGCTCACCAGAGTTACATGGTTGTATTAAGGAGCAGTACCATTGAGCAGATGAACTGTTTGCTGATTTGACTGGTTTATCTTTGGTCGTAATCGTTGCTCGGTTACATATCGTCTTGACTCGGGTGATTGCAGTGTGTCGCGTCTCACTGCCGTCCTCTACTCGACAACCGAGTCGAGGAACATGGCTGCAGTTGACTGCCGCGGCCACAGATAGAGACGGGTACTTAAAGCAAACATGTCGTGCCCACCGCCATTAGCTGCACGTTGCTCTCGTGCTGTGGTAACGCCTCGTCCTCTTCCTCTCGTCAAAGAGTGGTGCCTAACCAGAGAGTACGAGACCGCAGGTGTTGCTGTTGCTGCCAACTGTCATCCATGGCGTACCACAATGTCGTGCGTTGAAACTCGCGTGTCGCCGAGCTGGCACCACGAGGTTACGGATTCGACGGACTCTCTCCGTTAACCCTTATTTCGCACGCCCAGTTTTGGTCGCTGGGCTACTCACCTCCCTACGACGCTAGCAAAAGCTGGATGCGGGTCTCAAGACACGGAGTGAGCCCCAACCACTTACCGCAACTTTTGTTCCTTGGAATTCAAAGAAAGGTTGGTGTGGACAATTTACCATTCCATCATCAAATCTTGGGTTGGAATCCAATCCGAATTAATATATCTTGTGCTTAATCATCGTCAATTGATTGTCGGTCAGAATAGAAATATAGGAACTTTAATTGGCCAAAAGACCCTTTAAATCTATGCTTAAATCATTACTTATGAGCACTTGGGATGGGTATAGACAAGAGAGGAGGGATTCAATTGTGCCAGGAGCTACACAATGGTCGGCTGGGATTAAATCCATCAAAATACATCGACGGCCCCGATGAATCCTCCAAACTTCCAACGCATTAACCGTTCACGAAGGCTGGCTTTGCTTTCTCGCGGAAACGGCTCACGAGGAACCCACGTGCCGAACATAACGGTAACCTCTCCGTCATCGTCTGCTTCCTCTCTCTCTCTCTCTCTCTCTCTCTCTCTCTCTGTGGCGAGCACTTTTCAAACTCTCCCGCAAATGACGCTTTGGAAGTCCAACTCAACCATTCCATTCACCCAACCCCTCCGTCTATATGAGTTGCACACTGGGAATCAACCCACTGCGCGAGGAAGAAGGACTACCATGTTGTCCGATCCATGCACATTGCTGAGCTTTCTGAGACCATGCTAAAAAAGCTAGAAAGATGGCGGAGGAGCTGGACAGCAGAGCACAGCTCGCGAGGGAGATATGCTCCATATCATCCATGTTCACCGCTTGCACCCACCGCAGCCGCTCGCCCCGGCGACCACCCTTCGTTGACTGGTATCTCGTTCTCAGAGTTGAGTCCTAACATGCATGCACCTCTCCTTGTTCCTGCGATCCTTTGCTCGACAACCGTTTATTGATTGAATGAGAGGCATTTCAATGACGATTCATAGGTCGATGAAGAGGCCGGAATCGATGTCATACGCAGGCAATATCGTCGGCTGGGTATGGCTGTCGCAGCAGCAAATGCTCACATTTCTCTCTTGCTCTCTTGTTGGTTTCTCGGTAGCCTGGAATGATGACAGTTCTTTCTGCAGCGTTGCAGCTTCATCCAGACAAGAACAGACACCCCAAGGCTGAAGCTGCATTCAAGGTCGTCTCTGAGGTAAAGAGAGGCATCGACATCTGCTAAATCATGAGCCGAAGTTCCCTTGAACCTATGAATTCCACTTGCAGGCATATGAATGCTTGTCAGATGAAGTTGCAAGAAGAGCCTTCAACTCTGAGAGGCAAGACAAGTTCTGCAGGGAGTGCCATAGCAACTCAGAGAGGCAAAAGGCTGGAGTCCGAACAAAGCTGAGAAGAGCTGTGGCAGCTCTCAGAGAAGCTAAGAAGAGATTCCAAGAGGAGTGCAGAGTGATAGAACGCTGCTTGGAAGCCAACAAAGCAACCCAAGCAGGATCACCGCTCTTTGATCCCTCTGTCTACCTGCTCTACGATGGCTATCCACACTACCGCGATCGGGTGGTCGTGAACACACGAGAGCAGGAGCAGCAGTTCCAGTGCGGCGATGGCGACAACCACAGAAGAAAAGGCAGATGCGAGTCACCTCTTTACGAGATCAGAACGGAGCGCAGAGCAGGAAGAACAATGAAGAGTAGTTTCAGATTCTGAGTTGAACATCGAAGTGGCTTCATGCGCAAGGCTTAATGTTGAATTGAGGATTGCAATTTATCTGGCGAATTTGTATCCCATTCTTTATCCAATCAATTCATTCATGAAAGTTCATACAATAAAATTTTTTTTTAACGTATTGAAGTACTTTTTCATTTTTTCTATAAAGCTTTTTCATTTTTTCAATAAAGCTTCTTTAGTAATTGTCCTTGTCTTCTATTCTTTTCATCATGTTGGACCTGATCTGTACCAACTGCTCTAATCTACACTACAGGAGGGATGGAGCTCTAATGCCATCGTGTTTGTTTTGCTGGTAAGATAGGACTAGCGTAAGGATAAAAATGAGCAATGAATGATCCGGGTATGTCCATGAACGAACGGGAGCATCCTTATTAATTTTCGAATATAGGGGTATAATCTATTAAAAAAATATTGAGACCTTTTTTAAATAAATTTTGTTGATTAATTAGATTCCTAACTTCACCTCCACCATTTAGGAAACAAATTATAATTTTTTTATATTTAAAAAATATTAACTCTGATAAGGAAAAAATATCCTAATTAAATTCTTCTTCATCTCTTGCCCAATCATGTTGTAACCCAAATCTTTCTTGCATGATTCATTAGTAGGAGAGTATGTTGTTCTCTCAATCTTTACACGGATGGCAAAGTAGACGTCATGTTGCATCATACTACAACTATAAAACCAACATAATGTAATTTGTTTGAAACATTTCCTAATACATATTTAATATATATAAAAATAAATAAATAAATAAAAAGGAAATATCTTGATATTAAATAAGTATTTATCATCATATTATTATCATATTTTATACACCATATATGTATACATATAATATATATATAAATACATATATGTATACATATATGTATACATATATATATATATATATATATATATATATACATATATATATAAATACATATATGTATA